CGTGCAGTGGATTGAACCGGCTGGGTCTCCAGCAGCAGTTGTGCCAGTGACAAAAGCTTCTTAGTTCGCTCTTGGTCGAACTCTTTGAGAGGTCGTGGAACTTGTAAAACAGCACCAAGTATTCCTACAAAGCACTCAGGGAATACCACCAATGGCACCTCACAGGTATTGCTGACTTGAAACCTTCAAAAAAAACTTCCAATGAAACAGAAACATGCAAAGGAAAGTCTTGTGGCCTGAGAAAGGCTTGTGTCAGATGCATATCTCTTGACACAGCAGCACACATCATTTGGTGAAACAGGCCATGTGTGACGCCCAGGTCCATCTGCAACAATCTCCATATTGGCTGGAATGTCTGGCAGGTGCAATCACCCAACCACATCCAAACACTAACTTTCAAAAACTGACACCAGATGTTGGAGGCCTCTTCTTCGGAAAAAGAGGAAGGCATGAGCACCACTTGAGTCATCTCGCATTCCTCCTTTCATGGTCACCGGTGCCTGTTCGAACCTTGGGGGCTAAACATGATATAAGAGTGCTGGATGGTTCAAAACTATTCAGTCATTACACCTCACACTGACACCTGTTCTGATGTCCCTTGGTACAAACTATACAAACAAGCTGCCATCCCTTCCAATCACGCACAGTGCCCACATGTTCTACTACAATCTCAGCTGTGTTCAGCCACTTGCGCAAGTCCAACTTGGAAGTGATGTACCGCACCTTCCTGACAAGATGACAGAGTCTTGAGCTGTTGGACATTCACTGAACACATTGAAATCTTATGCGTTCAAGATTCTCCACCATATCTTCCTCGTCCGCTAAGATGTCTATAAACCGCATCGACCGAGATAGAACTCCGTAGATCTGATCTTAGTGGAGTGTAAAAGGAAATGATCTCTTAGTGTAATACTCAGCAACAGCTGGTCAGCCAAAGGACCGAGGGCTCCGTGGGTATGGCCCACCCGGCCATACAGTATGCCAGTGACTTCAAAGCCTTTCTGTAAAAGAAGCCAGCACAGCCACTTGAAGCAGGTGTTGTTTTTGTTCTCCCTTGGGCAGTTGTCTGCCTCAGCTTTGTTCAAAAATGACCAGCGCCTTCCAATCAACCTTGGGTGTGATCAAGATTTGACAATGAGACAATTGGCCATGTTTCAGAACAAGATACCCACAGTATCAATTTTCGTGGAGTGTTTACTCCACGAGCTTGGCAAATTTCAGACATGCGTTGCAGGGCTCTGGAAACGCATTCAACCACCATTGAGCTGTCAGCTGATAGTCTGGTGTCCAGGCAATACAGAAACAATGCCACTTGGTGCAGCCATACACCTTGGATCTTCGTGCGAACTCGTTCATGTTTTGCAAGGCTCTTTGTCAAGAGGTTGTTCCGACATCTCGGCATGCTCCACTTTGACTGGTCCATTCCGTCCTTAATGCATGATCCAATGAAACAAGTCAGCGGCAGTGAAAACAACTGAGTTGAAGACAACAATAGCAAACCCTCAATGAACCATTTCCCTTTGATATGCAGCAAAGAGTCAGTTGTGACGAAAAGGGCGGCAGTGCCATCCAACAACGGGTTGGACTCCTTCCATTTAGTTTGGAGACATCATCCAAACAAAACCAAACAACTCAACTTTGGGTCCTGAAAAAAAGATTCCAGCTTCCTATCGCTGGCCACTGCTTGCATGTGCGCTTGGTATTGTCTGGAAATCTCAAACTTGTCCAATGGATCCTGAGGCTGATGAATAGGGGTTGCAAGTTGTTGAGAAACCATGTCGCATGGGAAATCAAAGCAACAGCTCAGAACCATAAGTGACTAGAAACAGTGGCATCTTCAAATGAATCTTTGAATGCTATGCAATCATCGCATGCTGGAAAGTTTGTGGGATGGCTAAAGCGCAGCAGGTTTTGCCACTTGGATTTATATCTTCTGGTAAAATGACCAAACCTCAGCGCATGTTCAACTGGTGGCTACATCTTGTTCCACATGAACTCATGATGTTGACTTCCAACTAAAAAGACAAAGCGGCGACACGTTGCCTGAATACTCAGTGAATAGCATTCGGAGGTTACCAGGCGGCATGTATCTGATCGGAAGCTTGCTTGGGTCAGAAACCCAATTCGAATCCACGATCCTGACCAAAACAAATTCACAAAAGGTGGCCAACGATAGTAAGAAGAAGCCAAGAACAAAGAAGAAGCTAAGGCTCTGCGTCCACACCTCTTGGCTCCCTAAAATATGCATCTTCAGCTCCAAGTCGTCCTCAATCGACTCATGAGGGACGAGGTCTAGCTCATCCACCTCATGAACCTCCAAATCAGAGTCTCCTCAGGAATGACACTAGGAATGACAGCTTTAAGCTGCTAGCCCAAATTCACAGAACATGAGCCATTGCAAGCTAGCTTCCAAAATCATCTGTGTGAGTGGATTTCCCAAAAGTGACCTCCAGTTTTTGTGGGGTCTTGGCCTTCCTGGAAGCTTGAACTCGTGCAGCTCGACCAAACCTGGGACAAGCACGCTGGTCCCATGAACCAGCCATGCATTGCCTCAAGCAACAAAAACCAGGTAAGGAACTTTGTTGGCAACATCCCTGCTTGTTGGATGTATACTTGGAGGAAGAATCGGTCAATGGCCATGTACTTGAGTGGATGGCGCTTCAACTCCTTATTGCGCAAGAAGGTTCCACTATGAATTCCAACCTAAGTCATTCTCATGCCATTCAGTAGGTTTCAAAGAGTTCATCAAAAATACAGACCAGGTTCAGCCCCATGACAAGCATATCGACGATCAAGCATGCCCGAGCCAGATCTCTTTATACGATCACTTCGAATCCCAAGCAAGCAGGCAATGCACTTGACTGACATGGCCTCTCCCAAGAGGCTCCAAGATCGATGTGCTGCAGCGACACTGCGAATCACAGAATAGATCTCAGTTGACAATTTGGGGAAACTATGCCAGCCATGTAAAGGAATGTCCAAAGCGAATTAGAATGTGTGATCAAGTTATGTCAACTTGTCATTGCCATTGAGGTCATGGCATAAGCATCTTGGGCAGGCTTTTCAAGTGACCAAAAAGAAGACAGGAACGCCTTAAACTCATTCTCCTGAGCCTTGATGCGCTGAAAGCAATCCAGACGATGACACTGGCAGCGGTCCCTTGCATACAAGTTCGCCACTCTGTACATGCATTGGCCATTGTCACTCTGCCTGAGTTTCAGTCCGGTGACCTAGGGCCTAGGGCTTCAAGCAGAAAATATACAATTCACAAAATGAAAAGAGACTGCCTTGTTCCAACCTAGAAGCCTAATCCGATCTGTTGGGTTCGCATAGAACTTTCTCTTGTTGTTGTTGTTGTAGTTTGGTCTCTTCTCTGGTACAGGAACTGGCTTCTTGAAAGGCCTTGAACCTCTGGTGTTTGCCTGAAACTCTCTGAGGGTAGCGAAACTAAAGTTCACAGTTGCATGCTGTGGCTTTTCTTCTGCCACCACAGTTTGCTCCCTCAGGGATGCAAAGTAAGATCTCCGACTTGCGTCTGGTCCATCTACAGTGGCTGATGCTGATGGCGTTGACGGTCCAGCATCAGCTGTGACATTGCCATCACCCTGCTGCAAAGCTCTAAGAAACCCTCGTCTGAGGGCCATTGAGTCTCTCACAGCTGCGATGTGAGTGGTTCTTCCCGCATCACCCTTGATACCCTTTCCCATGACACACCCTCAAATAAAACGAAACGACCCTCATATAAAACGAAAACTACTTAGATATGGTCAGCATTATTTTTGGTTGGACATCTTAATGAATATAAGAACCCAACAAAGTGTTGAACGGGCACCTGGTCTTCTTTTGACAATTGTCACCAGCTTGAGTAACGGACCGGCTGGCACCAAATAAGAACGGTCAAACAAATCCTTATTGTGGTATGACTATGGACGCTGCTCAGCAAATACTGGGATCGAATTTACCTCTCCAAGAAAATCCATGTAGAACCACTAGAAACTGGAGCAGACTCAAGCACAACTGAGCACTTGCAACACCGGATTTTTCATCCGTTACTGCAGGACCTTCAGTTCATGACCATCCTTGAGATCTCTACAAGGATGGTCACTTGGTCCCCGCCTACATGAGGTCACTGCCTGAGACCTCATAGGTCACAAGCTGAAGGTCCCAGCTGATCTAGTCGACTCGTGATTCCGGTTGATTCATCAAACTCCGAGCGCTCGCGCGACCAGCGCGAGCGCCCAGCGCCTGGGCCAATGGCACCGTCCCCAGCAGCGTTGCCAGGAGCAGCTCGCTCCTCAGCGGTGGAAGTGGGTAAAAGTGGTTGACCGGGAGGTTCTTTTTGACATTCTCTGAGTGTACAATCGAAACACCTGTCACATGTTGAGCACAGTTCATCAGCAAAAATGCTTAGTGTACAAAACTTGTAGCAAAGAAGCTTTGGACCTCTAAGTGTCCAACGTGTCAAACAAAGCAAACATCACGTTGTCTCTGACAATCCCCTGGTTTGTCAGGCTGCAACTGGTTCAGGATGTGTTGTTCTGATTTATCGATCCACATTCTATACTATAGTATTGCTGAGTATCTCTCCTGCTACGCTAGTCACAGACTTTGACATTAGCTAGCCTTGGCCAAACCCGAACAAGAAAGAGTTCCATCACTGCTGGCACAGCATCAGCGCATACATGAGGGGGCAAAGGTCCGTCGTCCACCATCAGAAACCGCAATCGACGCGTTCGACATCCCGGGTTCTATCGTTGCTTTGAGCACTTTCACAGCAAATGCAACGTCTGTGTGTGGTCACGGGTCTCAGCTGTCCAATTGCCATGTGTCATGTCAGGAGAGTTGTGGAAAGATAATTGTTGGCATCCTTTCACCATAGCTTCTCGATCCAACAAAAACAACGAGCAGCGAATAGGGCATAGGGTGCGGAAACATCGTCATCCTCTAGCGACTCTAGAAGATAACACATGACTACCTTTGAGAATGATTCGACAACTATGTTTTCTTTGGACCATAAAGGCCGTCGATCAAAACTCCCGGCCTGAAACACCTCAGACTTAGAATGCAACACTTTGTGAGCTAACCTGAGAAGCACTTGTGCAACCAAAAACATCGACATATCACCTTGCTTGAAGCATCAAACTGGGTGATGTACACAAATCCAGCAAGAGTAATATCTGAACCTTCGAAGTCAAATTCTCATGAGATCCACTTAAACAGTACCGACCTGTCAAGAAGACGCCCCACCACTTGCAAAAACCATCGGAAAAACAGTTCTGCCCAGCGAGGTGAACGACTTCGCTGCCACCAAGCGAACAGACGCCTTTTTCGGCGTGCGCCTGTCACGCTGCAATTCTGAGCTCAACATTTGCACCTGCAGCGCAAGGCATTTTTCCTCTGTTCAGAATGAACAAACTAATGTTTGGGACAGTGAAAAGGTTTTTCAAGTGAAGAAACATGTATGTCGCTGCCATGTCACCCAAGCAAGTTGGTGCTAGTTCGCTGGCCTCAAAGCACGCTGCACGTATTATTTATGAAGTAGAAACATCCTCCCTGGAACGTTGATGGAACATGGCGGCAACTGATCGATGGCAGGATAGATCTTTCCTGACTACTGCCCTAAAAGGGATCACGACTCACCATTTGGCATGATGATTTTGCGGGTGCTGAGCCGCGCCCGGTGCTGATCGATGACATCTTCCCACCTTCTCCTGCATGTCTTGCACCACCTTCGTGGTGTGAAGGAATTCCTGACAGCTTCTACCAGTGCCAACTACAGGACAAACAGTTGACAGTGCCAACTCCCGTTGGATTTGAGGCGGAAAAAGCTGATCAATTCATCCACTGGCCCGGCTGGCAGTTCTTTGTTTCCAGCAAGTGACATTGTAGTAGTCATGGTGTCTGAGAACATGGGCACTCAACGTCCAACCGTTGTCCAACCTGAACCTCATGTTGCCCTGTCAGACTTTATTCAATTTCCATGACTGACAAACTACTTACAAGTAGGATAAGGCTGGACACTTCCTACCTTTGTGCATGCTCGTACAACGGCCTCTAGTGTCTTCGTTCCCACAATCTGTGAATATGATATTATCGTGTCCTTGCTTTCGTCTCTACGCCTGAAAAACAACGCAGTACTTCGCCAAAGAGCTTTCAACACGTACCTCCCTTACCCTCACCACAACGCAACTCTCCCGCCCTGCAAGAAGAAAAAGGCATCTCAGAAGAACGTCCCTTTTCCATAGCATTGAATCCATTGCTGCTGTTGAGACACTAGCCAAGCCGCAAGCACCATTGAAAAGTATCCCCAAACACCATCGACCAACAAAGAGTCCAACGCCTATCTTCCATCCTCTTCCGACCCACACTGCCGACACCGTCTCACCACGCCGCTCCTCTCTCCGTCCGACCGACCTTCTGTCCCGCCCTGCTTGGCTCCGCGCGCGACCGCGCGCGCGCGCGCCTTGCGGAAGAGCGCCATGTCGATGTTCCGCGCGGAGCCTTTGAGCCTGGCGATGCCCGAGACCAAGTCCTTGGCATTGAGGTCCTGCCAGGGATGGAGGACTCACGACACCTGTCCCACGACGGGCTCGTCATGCACGTGCGCGAACGGAGGGGGGGGTTGGAGGGGTGGGTGAAGCCACGGGCTGCATTGGTGCAGCGTTTATATAAATATATTTTTCCGGCGGTTTTTGTTGAAAGAGGCGGCGGGCCGGGGCCAGGCAGATTAGGGTTTTTTGAATGTTTAAGGCCGGGCCGGGCGGGAAGCTGTGTGGCAGGCGGTACACGCTCTGGGGGAGAGGGTAAAGCAACTTTGAAGAATGATACAGAGTACATCATCCGTCACCCCAAGCAAAGCAACTCGGCCGAAGCGCATCCTGAGAGACTCATGAGATCAAAAAAATACAATGCAAACATCACAACAAGTACCGCCTGATACAAGATATACAAGTAGGTAATGACAGCTGAGATAGCCACCAACATAACCATCCAGCTACCTGGCAACTAGTACTGGGGCCACGCTGCTTGTCAGAAAAGCTGATTTCAACTGACCCTCTCTCCTTTCTTGGAAGTACCAGACCTTCACCACCTCTCAGCCTCATATGCACTCTAGTAACTGCTACAGTATATAGTTAGTACAGTGTTAATTCAACATCTGGTGAACAATGTGCAAGATAGGGCCTTCCATTTGTTCTGTCCTGCTGGTTGCTTGCTGCGCAAATCAGCTCGTGAACCAATGCCTTGGCGATGGAACTTCAAAACGACCAGGGAACTCGATGGTCGTAGCAATGGTGGGGTTCTTGCAAAGGAGTAATCCGAAGTATATGAGCAGTATGTCTCAGTATGTATCAACAAATTTGACCCCATGATCGAACGTGACAAACAGCCCATCAATTTGGTTGACATGCTTTTCTCCGATGACTTTCCCAGGAAATGGATCTACAGAAGGTTCCACAGTAGATTCTCAGTCATGCAAGGAACTCGACAAGCGTTTGCCGCGTTTGCACATGCAAGGACGCATGGGTGTTGCTTTTGGACCGACAAGCATCTTGCAACCACCCATCCATGGGGATGGCAAATCTTCGTCCCAAGGATTCGCTGAAAATCAGCAACCCTACTCGCTTCTGAGTTGTCGACCACACGCTGACTTGTTCACGGAGTTTTTCACGGTGACTGGACCCACATCCAACCCGAGCACCCTGTTGACGGGTGTCAACTTACCATGGTTTGGTGAGGCAGGTGCCACGATTCACATCCAACTGGACTCACCAAGTCACAGCATTGCTCACGTCCAAGCCCATGGCTGCCAACCACAGCTGCACTGAGTAATCGTCGCACACCTGGCGGCGCAATCGGCGCAATCGATGACTCGGCGCAGGACCGTGCGGATCAGAGTCTGCCGAGTGAGTCTGCTGCATGAAGTAAAAAGTTGAAACAACAAAACAAACATACATCATACAACAAACAACAGTATTAGGCGAAAAGGAAAATCCTTTAAGCAACATGTGTTTCTTTTGTCTCCCCAATGTTTTTTCTTGTGTCTGTTGAATCAGGATCCCAATCAAAGTCACAGCCCGGCTTGACTGTATTTGGTCGTTCAGAATAGGAGACCACCTATTCCACTACTGTTGATTGTCGATCGATGAAGACGCTTAGCTTGTGACAGGTTCAATCCCCCTTTTGGATCCTTTTGGTCGTGCGCTTGATTGTTCGACATATCCTCGTGATCCTGCATGGCCGGAAATCGTACACGGCTAGTTCATGTGCGTTCGTTGCCGAATGAGCCATTCGTCTTGACTCAAGACCCTAGCTTTTTTGGTGACAGAATCACCCAGAAGGTGGATGTTGTCTTCTAATTTGCCCCTCTACCCGGCCTGCAACCACTCTCCTCGGTCCAAACGGCCGCTGGAGTCATAGTCAGCCGCTTTGAAGAGGGCGGTCCTGAGGCGAATGGCGAATCCAAAAACAAGGGCCCTCAGTAGCGTCCTTGCTCCTAGTAGTAAGGCCAGGAGCCCCTAGTAGCGTCCTTGCTCCTAGTAGTAAGGCCAGGAGCCCCTAGTAGCGTCCTTGCTCCTAGTAGTAAGGCCAGGAGTCCCTAGTAGCGTCCTTGCTCCTAGTAGTAAGGCCAGGAGCCCCTAGTAGCGTCCTTGCTCCTAGTAGTAAGGCAGGAGCCCCTAATAGCTTCTTGTTACTAATAGTAAGGCCAGGAGCCCCTAATAGCTTCTTGTTACTACTAGTAAGGCCAGGAACGCCTAGTAGCGTCCTTGCTCCTAGTAGTGAGGCCAGGAGCCCCTAGTAGCGTCCTTGCTCCTAGTAGTAGGGCCAGGAGCGCCTAGTAGCTTCTTGTTACTAGTAGTAAGGCCAGGAGCCCCTAGTAGCGTCCTTGCTCCTAGTAGTAAGGCCAGGAGCCCCTAATAGCTTCTTGTTACTACTAGTAAGGCCAGGAGCCCCTAGTAGCGTCCTTGCTCCTAGTAGTGAGGCCAGGAGCCCCTAGTAGCTTCTTGTTACTAGTAGCGATGCCAGGAGCCAATGGTAGCGTCCTTGCTACTAGCGATGGCCTCCAAGCAAGCGAAAGCCAGATGCTCCGGTGAAGCCCAGATAATAAACGATCCCGCAAACGATCCCGTTCGGGATGGAAGACCCGTGGTGGAAGACAAGGTTCCTCTACAACTGAGTGGTTTGGGGGTCCATGTTGCAAGAAGGAGAAGACGCAAGAGTTACCTGGTGCATTGATCAACTTGCTGCTGCTCCTATCTCCTAATAGCCTTCCTGCAAACATGTTGGTTTCACAACATGAGCGTTCTGCTGATGAGCTGGGTACGAGGTCACCTTGTGAGTCTCTGTTCCGGAACAAAGTGCCACACAAAGTGCCAAAGTTCACCCACTGGAAGTCGGAAATCTCAAAATTAATCCAGTTAAAACAAATCAAACACATTAAAACACATAACTTCCACAACAGTAGCACCAACCCTTCACCCAACCAACCGGGTAACCAACCAACCCTGCAAAAAAAACACAACAACCAACACCCAACCCAGCCAGCTCCCAGCCAGAGAACCGCAATAGGTCGACGTGTTCCGGCCGAGACGCATCTTGGCGATGTGCAGCTCGAGTGCTCTCTCTTTCCTCGAGTGCTTCCGGACCACCGTGGGATGCACCCTCCGACCCGTCTTGGCCGTCCGTGCGTGCGAGTTTCGCATGGTCAAACGCCGGTGGTCGGAAAGGGGGACAGAAGGATATTCCTGGAGAGTTTCGGTTGTTCATGTCTAGCCGTCTAGCCTATTCTGGCCCATTTTGAGTATAGAGAAGTCCCTAAACTCTAATGCCCAATCTATGTTGAAAAGGACGAGTCCCTCAACTGCCAAAGTCCTCCTAGTGATTTGGAACAAAATACATGACTGGTTGGCACTCCTTGCGTTGGCCAACTTGTGCGCACCTCCCAAAAACCAAACACCGAGCATCATCGCCTGCTGGTGCGTGTTTCTGCAAAATTGGATGATTTTGAGACACACCCGTTTCTTCCGAAACAATCCGGCCAAATCAACATTCATTCAGTTGCATAGCTGTTGAATCCACAAACACATCCAAAGGGTCATGTGTCCTTGGTGTTCGTAGCTGTAAGGGCGGCCACTGGACAAGTACCAAGCACTAACTAGCGCTGACTTATAGAGTGTTCCTTTTTGGTGCACGAAACACTTGCCATGTTAAAGCCATGTCCGCAGCTGTTGGGGTTCTGCGGCAACGCTGCAGCCATCCGAGCATCTGGTTGATCATGATAGTGTTGTCTGTCTGCGCCACAGAAAAGGTTTCTTGGACAAAAACGCCCGTGATCACCTTAGCAGCTGGTGGAGATTGTCCCTGAGAGAGTTTCTGATCAAAACACACGGTCGAAAGCGATTGATGTTGTAGAGGTTCATTTTCTGGTGCGGCGAATACCCAAGAGGGTATGACCTTCCATGATTCTCCCAGCAAACGTGGTGCAACCGCGTGCGTCTCCGCTGCCCAAAACATCGAAAAAAGCATTCCTTTCGTGGGAATGAGCTACAAAAAGTGATCTTCAACTCCTCCAAGAGGATTGAACTCTAACAAGAACCGTTTGGCTTCGAGTGATTGATTTGTCCTATTCTGAACCGATGTCAAGCCCAAAGCTATAGGAAGCTCGATTAATGGACGGGAAGGTAGGATTCGGTATGATACAATCTCACAGTCTCAAACATAGGAGGGCTGGCCTTGGGTCACGCCTGCCCCTCTTGAAAGAGTGTAATTCACAGGTTTCCAAGATGCACAGAGTAAGTTAAACCCATCTATGTGTTCAAAATGAGTTCTTAGCAGGGGACTGATCTCACTTGAGCGGTCTCTTGAGCGGAGATTGCCATCCTGGAAGAAGGTCTCTGCCTTTGGCCCCGATCTGGTGCCACGTGGCCATCACAACGGCAAATCCGATGACCAACTTGTGAACCAAGGCGAACATCACCTGGGATGCGATCGAACAGCACGCTGAACAGCGCAGGTCAAAGATCCAGGTCGAACAGAAAGATTCTCCAGGTTTTCAGGTTTCATTGCATGAGAAATGACTGGAAGAAAGACATGATACGTATGCCATGTACGTATGCCATCCGTTTGGAGCCATGTGGATCGCTCAATCGGTGACACGTACCGACCCAAAACTGGTCGATGAGACACCGCTTTCCTCGTTTGGTCCATCGTTTGGCAGTACGGTTCGTCGGCGCCCTCCAAGCCATTCTTTTCGTTGCCCATTGAGTACCATGCAATTAGTGAAAAAAAAACAATCTGATCTGAGCCGAAAAGAGTTGTAGCAATGGCATGCAATGGCCAAGAAAAGCAAAATAACTACCAAAAATGCCCGAGCAAGTCAGGGTGGCTTCATGATTGATCTAGTTCGGGTGCTCCGGAACTTCCAGCCACTCGTGCAAGACTTCTTAGCCTCCACCGGTATCACCCCAGTGATCCCTGCGGCCACAAGGCGTACAGCTCGGAGACGTCTTGCATCATCAGCCGCGTGACGGGCACAAAGTTCCCCAGGGTAATCTCCTCAGTCTGTCGGTGAAAACGGTGGTTCCTTTGCTTTGCTTCGGGACTCTGGGACATGAAGCAGAAGCGATTTAGAGTTTGGAGTCATTTTGAGCCGACCAAACTCAGACTTTTCTGGTGACAAGGCTCTCAAAAACATCCAAAAAGCATTCAGCCACAAATTCCAGCTGCTGAACCTCTGTCAGTATGCTGGGTCTTAGAGATTGAGATTGAAGGATTTCCCAACACTAAATAACATGTATATCGTTGAATCATACTTTCCAGGAAGCTTCCCCTTATTGTCCTTCTCATACTGCTTGAATCTACTCCTCTGATCGATGTACAAACCAGAACCCTGTCCCTTTTAGACATCAACGCCCCCTTTGATCACGTTGCCCGCTCGCAGGATCAACTTCGAAGGAATTGCGAGGTCTTCCTTGATGTGTTGCTTTCGGTGGCCTTCTTGCTGCTCCACAAGCGCCAAACACTTCCAAAAAACAACAAATGCAACAGCCTTGAAACAGAACTGAGCTTGTGATCTTGGGGACACGCCGCCGCTCCACGCTCCAGCATTTGTCTCTTTCCTACACACACGTCGTCGTCCAGTGTTGTTGCTTCAACCTCAGCATTCCCCATGCGATCCAAGTGTCAAACAAGGTGAGCATGGCACGGGTAAAGGTGCCATAGTAGGAGTAGACCGCGTACTTGTCACCTGAAGGAGAGGGATCGGCTGTACAGAGTCCTCACCCTCAGGCACGGAACAAGAGGTAACACCTTTTACATGAGAGGTGAGAGAACAAACACGTGTCTTAACTACTACTATCTTCCTAGTTGGGTGGTCCAAGGTTGACTATTCTTGATAGAACAACACACAGGTTGACCTAATTGATGGTCAAACATCATCAAACATCTACATATTGAAGTTGAAGGCTTTATTGATCAACAATCAATCACTAAGCCACTAAGCAACCTTGTTATGTCTTGGATCGCCAACGACACCAAAACCGCCTGTGGCATTGGGATCCGAAAAATAGGGCTCCACCAGGGTGACAATGGCGAGGGCCAGCATCATCTGAATCCTGGCGGCTGGGCATGGGGCAAACTGCAAAAGAACCCCTGCAGGACCAGTCTGACCCAATGAAACCTGGTCCTTTACGGCATTGAGTAGTGGTTGTATGTGGTTGTGTATGATCAACTCTAGTAAAAAAGAGGTCAAACTGACCTGTAGGGAATTATGAAGCTCTGCGGTAGAGAAGATGTCGCAGTTGCTTTCTGACATTGTCCAATTCTCACACCTCACTTCTGCTGACTGACTTAAACTTCTTCAAGAATACACACATGGGATCCTGGGCTGGTTGCCTGCCCCGCCGTGTGTATCATATGCCTCCAAATGATGTGCAAGGACGATCAAGCAGAAGCCCCGAGCGAAGACCCAAGCAAGCAACTCTTTGCAACAATTGAATTCAGGAAAACCCTACACGACAATCATACGGCAAACACGTTCTGCATGTCAGAACATGTTTTGAAGGGATCGTTGTGGCAATATGCTAGCGTAAACCCAAACAAAGACATGAATACGCAACCACGGTACACAGCGTGATTCGAGTGCTCAAACACATATCGATTGACATTGATTGTTTGGGGGAAACTCCCTGACACATCGGTCACCGGACGGAAGGCTGCGCTAGATCTCTCCGAGGCTCAGAAGGAGCAAGGCACTGGACCACGCGAGCGCTGCGAAGGAGGCGCGAATCGAGGTCAGCATCAAATACAAGGCCTTGGAGGGGACGGTTGGTTGGGCGCTGGACGGACTGGGATGGGCGACCGCTGTGGAAGGACCGGACTTGGGACCGGACGGAAGGGTGGGGGAGGGAGGCCGAAGCAAAACCAAACGTATGATGTCCCGCTCTTCTAACAGGTGCAGTGAGGGATTGGGAGGTGCTTGACAGTCTGGGGCTGGGCACGGCTTTTCTTTCTATGGAGCGAGTATATATATATATATACATATACATATATCATTGCTTTAAATTCTTTATTTGTTGCGTTTATAACATATAATGTGTGAGCATCCTACAGTTGCAGGATGTGACATTGACATGATTCGACATGATCCAACAGAGCTCAGAAGCACAATGAGTATTCACCTCTAAAAGAGCTGTGAAACTGCCCAGATTGTGAGCCTCTTTCAAAATGTGGGTCTCACTTTGACTCATAGTTCTCCCAGTGGCTATGTCGTGAATTGAGTGGCTATGCGCTTGGGCGAAAGCAACTTCAAGGAAGCACTCCGCGAAGGTCGCGAAGGTCGACTTCAAAACGAATGAGAAGAGGATAGAAGAAGGTGAACACCAGTGCCTGGCTGAGTGCCTCGCACAATCCTTGTATTTCTTCGGTCCTGGTTATTACATAGGTCCTATTCCTGGAAGTATGCCACTCTACCCGGTCTGAACCGGTATGGCCGACCCTCAGAGCCCCGGGCATCGCATTGTTCAAAGATCTTCACCAACCTGCGGACAGAAACGAAAGACACGACACATCTTTGGCGTCATTCTGGGCGTCTCCGGCGTCTGAAAAACCAAATCTTCTCGTTGATCTTGAGTCCGATTCCGTCTTCCAGGGACCCGATGGACCCGATTCCTTTTTGTGGGGGTCGCCAAGGCGACACCATGCAACAACATCGACAACACTCGACTCCCGGACCCCGGACACCGGTCGGACCTGACCATTCGCATCAACCGACTGAGGCGGAACAAGCGTAGCATCATGGGGTCCAAAGGGAAGGCGGTCGATGTGATCCTTGGCGCCAAGTATGTCCAAGTACACTTCAAAATAGAGGTGATGTATGGTTGAGATTGGTTAAGCCTTTTTTCAGTTGGGTTGATAGGCACTCCTTGACCAAACATTGCAACCTTCTGTTCTGGCTCCTGAGACCAAAGGCTCAGTGTGGCTTCTTCACTCCAATGGGCGAACCTCTTCCCTCCGTCCTCGTGAGACGTGCTTCCCTCCGGTCCCGGCGTATGGCGTATGGAACCGAAAACGTGAGAAGTAGGCATATCTGTGCCGTTCGCCCAGTCAAATGCCTGACACTATGCCTGACCTACCACAATCCTATAGTGATTGATCACAGGTGGAGCAAGGTGTCACAATACACGACAGGAGAAGTCCACCCTAAGCCCTTTCACCGAGCGTTCTGCTGGACTGGACTTGGGCTTCCATGCACCGTGTCTTTCATGGGAGAGTAGATGGCCAGTCAGGGCCTCATATTTACAAACAACACATTCAATACAACCTGAGCTGACATGCACGTGGACCACACCCTGTTGCTGGAAAATGATCATGCCAGGTTGGGGTCATTACCCTTGTCTGTTAGTGAGTCGGACTATAGAGAGACTGGAACGTCTATCAAGGCCGTCACAGTCACGACCTCCCACGTCTCTCGATTGACCAAAGCTCCGCTCGAGGTACCACACAATCAGGACGAGGCCGTCAAGCCAATTCCACATGTCCTTGTGGAGAAACGGCAACAAGAACTGCTGGTTAGATCATGTGAAACCCAAACAGGATCCATATGATTTTGGGTTTAACATGATCTAACCAGATACGGGCCTGATATATGGGCCTGATTCTCCACAGATTGTATGGGCCTGATATGCTTTGATTTTGGATCCATATAATCACAAACTGCCGGTCCCGGTCCGGCATGAGTGGATGGTGGCGTGGTACGGATGGTACTGACTGGTGATGAGCAAACAGTTGAGGCTAGTATGGGCTAGTACAGTGACTTGTGGTACCTGGGTAAAACATGGTAAACGACATTGAACATTGAACAGCGCAGAGCTGACACAGTCTCTTTTTGTCTTGGTCTTGGTGTTGTAAGAAGTTGAAAACTTCCAAATATATCCAAATATGCATGTTGCCTGGTTCGTTTCCTGTGGATGATGTTCAAACCGTCTGATTTTGCTCAAGCACGTTAATTCGCATGTCGATTGCGCGGTTTCGCCGACTCACTCGACTCATGCGTTCGGAGAAAGGCGGCGCGCCGAGCAGGCTGGCCCCGCCTTGAAGAAGCTGAGGCTACCAGCGATGAACTTGAGGATCAACTCCAAGGTAAACACCACGCCGAAGAAGATCTCACCCGGAAAAATCGGTGTGAAAGGTGTGTGGACAGGTATGGCGCAAGTGACCCTTGCAAGGGCATCCTAAGTCCTAAAGCTGCCTAAGGCTTCGATGTAGTGCAATCAGGGCGGATTTCAGAGATCCGTTGACCAAGGGAGAGCACAAGCTTTGTGATTTGTACGAGGAGATCAATGGTTGGATAGAGTTTTTGGGTTCAGTTTGACTCCACCGTCGCACACCCATCGTCTTCTGCAAAAAGCATCGTCGCATCCATTCTTTTGTGCGGGGCGACGGTTTTGGATCTACGATATATGCGTAGGACTTGTGGAATCTTGCGGATACGCCCTGGAGGATTGATATGGAACCGGAAAACCACTGGTCTTTTCTTCATGAAGCTAGTCTTGCAAAGGTCCCTTAGAGACTTGATTCATGGCCCACAGGTGTTGAGACGAAAAAACATCCACTCCACCGGAACCCGTAGACGGGTCGGATGTTCCGAGAAGGAGGGAAGCCCCGAGTGAAGCCTCCAGAGTTTCCTTTGTCTTTTTTCTTTTATGTCTATCACAGTCAACATGTGCAAAGCATACCAGGAGAAAGATGTACATCGCAGTGAGGTCAGCTTTGAAATGCTTTCACATTCCTGCACACGTTCAATCAGAACTGACAGTGGTTGCGAAACGCAAGACTCACCGAGTGGTGTAGCTGGTAAAACCAGATACATCATGATACATCGTGCTCGGCTTGACACTCAAACTCCACCAACAGCTGTTACTGACATGTTGCAAAAAAACACCCAGCAGCCCCACCATGAGGGAGTTGGTTGTTATTCTTTGCTGGGCGGGAAATCAGAACCTGAACACCTATTGAATGAATTTCTCAAACAACAATGTCACAAAACAATGGTTCTCCATCCAAACACAAGTTCTAGTGATAGTTAAGTGGTCCAATAAAAACAAAACACAAAACGACACCTGACCTGCCAGTGATGACCCTCCAAAACGGCCCAAGTCACGTCCACCACCTCGAACGCCGTGTCAGCTGCGGGCCACACTTCATGGGCTGGCTTGGTGTAGCCTGCCGCGTGCGCGGCCAGCAGCTTGGAGGCGCGGCGTCGTTTTGGAAGTTGCTTGTTCAGGTGGGTGAAGCAGTGCATCAAAGCATCTCGAGAACAAAAACATCAAGCCAAGAGCAGTAGACTTGCACCACGGTCTCATATAGCCATGGTCTCACATATCATCTGCTCTGCCAATCTCCCCAGCCTGTGTAGCCAAGCTTGTAGCCGGTCTCATAACCACGGTACTGAACCTTTGCAACGTGCGGTTTGAAGGAGTTTGATTGAAACTGAGTACACCTGCCATGCTTTCATTGCCTGAGACTTCCTCTCTTCCAAACGCGCTTAGCATCACTTCACTTTGTAGAGAGCACCGTATAAAATCCAATGACATCGGTGCCTTTGGTGACTTTGTGTGACCCTATGTCTCCTGCGCGAAGCGACGTGATCTGCAGCTTCATCACTGAAAAAATGGTTGAGGTTTAAACCCCCGTTGCAGATCGATCCATAATGATCTATACTATTTCTTCTATATAGATTATATAGTGAATCTACAGTCACCATCAAAGGTCAACATGACGTCGTTCTCCCTCGTCCAAGATGCCTCAAAGCCCATGACGGCGCACAAGGAGCAGATCAGCATCGCGAAACAAAGCTGAAAGTGAAAGCTTTCCTCGATCAGCCAGCGGTGTTTTATCAGCACAAAAGAGCTGAACAAATGGAAAAGCGATCTTAGTGACACATGGAGTCTTCTTCTGAGGGAGATGGGCCGGTTACACAACTGGTCATTAGCATAGACCAAAAAACAAGTTGTCTTCAAACGGTCTATCCTCCATGTCTCTATGACCAAAGGTATGACCAAATGGATCGTAAACTCTAGCAGCTACCAACGCACCAGGAAGTCTCCCCAAGTGCAAAACACTCCCATCTCGATGCTCAAGTAACAGCCCTAAACATCCTGCGCCTTGCGACTGTTGGTTTGGAACTGCATGAGCCGGAAGATGAGATGCTCAGATAGGGTGAGATGCTCCACGAATCCTAGAGTTTCTGTGTTTCTGCCCTTTTTTGGGGGGGTAGTTTTGACGACAACACAGGGTGCAATAAGCTTCCGTAGATCTCCAAGGTTCAGTCCACCTTGCAGCAAGTGATGAACTGATGGACAAGAGTTGCTGTCCACCAGATTTTCTGCAAAGGAGGACCAGCGTGTCCTACAAGAACTTTAAACGAATCTGCCTTTCTGCACAAGTGAGAACCCCCTGCAAGGCTTGCCAAGAATCTGTGAGCACGAGGGCTTGCTGGGAGATCCGTGTCCAAAATCTTTTCCTGAGTGACAGGCAAAAGCAATTCGAAGACAGGCCTGCATAACAAACCAAAGTCTTCCAGTTGCTGTCAACTCCACAGTGCTTGAATCAAAGTATGATCAACCCATTGGCACATACCATGCACTGTGGAGAGCCCCAACACTACCTAGCATACCCATGCAGCCCAAGCCGGTCAAAGATATATAATGCATATTGATTTATATTTTACCCCCTTGGGAACCCATGACTCCATCACTAAAATTCTTGAACCCCATGAATATTTTTGACTCAGCTGCAAGGTGGTTTTTGGATGCTTGTTGAGGGTGGCTGCCCTTTACTAGGTTCCCTCACCGCCAATTCCGGTTCTTTGAGAGGTAGCTAGGGGACTGAACTACTGTACTCAGGAGGCCATACCCCGTTGATTTCTTGGTCAAAACAACAAATGAACATGAGACTATGTCCAATCCCTTTTTTGTTTTTTTTTGTCAAAAGGATTAAGGCTACCTCAGACTCCACTGACCATCGCAAAGAGGGACGCACACCTCCCCCATCTGAGGACCGGACGCTTCGTGGAAGGATTCCTTGAAAGCCACGGCACGGGCAGATCGTTTGGGATCAGGGTTTGGAACAAAACTGAAGCCCTTTTACTCATGCTTCGCGATCTGAAGGAGTCTTTGCAGCAGTAGATAAGTGTATTCCTGCACTGCCGCATAGGATCTCAGCCACCCCGAGGAACATGCGGTCCGGAGGCCATAAATGGGCGATATGGGCGTGTGGAGGCCAAGCTGCTTTGTCTATCACTCCGACCCTTTCAACACTGTCTGAAAAAGCAAAATCATGGCATCATGCCGAATGCGAAGAGCGAAAACCATTTCAACATTGAAGATTGCGGGGAGAAAACCTATTGATCCAATGAAGTTGTCACCCTGACAATGACAACATTGCAAGCTTTTGTGCCGTCACCCTTCCCTACAATCCCATCAGACCAAACTTGGATGTGACTGTGCCATCTTGCTACTTTTGTGAGTTCAAATGTTTGGCTACCCCACCTGGTTTCTGCAGCCTTCCGGTCAGCCTGGCTTATCCAAGTGTCTAAGGAATCTTATGAAGAGTCTACTTCAAAAAGGCACACGGCTGCTGCCGACCAAAAGTGCACCCCAAACGAACACGGTGGCAGCCAACGGTCTACCACCGGACACCGAAACGGACATGACACCGCTTCGCACATGACATTCTTCCAGGTCTCATCTGGCGATATGTCCGGGGGTCTCACATAAGAGGTTCCCCAATCGACAGTGGTCTCAGAGTAGATGGCACAATCCCCAAGGTCGGTGGCTTTTATATGGACCCCTCAAAGAAACATCTTGGGCCCCCCAGTGCCATCAAACCGCTTTTTTTCCACGGGCCATCGATGGCCCGCTCGGTCTGAGGTCTTCGGTCGGCCCATGTCTTTCTCCACGCGGAGTACACTTCGATGTATCAACCCCTCACTCCGAGCGTCCAATCTCTTTTGTGAAAAGATCTTCTGAGACATGCTCGTCCTGAACGGTGCGTCTGAAGGGTCTCCCCGCGGTCCAGACTGAAACAACCACGGTGCGTCTGAGCTGCTCCGTCCCACAGAAAGGATGCTGGAGGTCTTAGACTGCGGCAGATTTGTCCATCAAAAGGGTCCGATCATTTCCTTTTGTAGGTCTTCAAACATCTTTTGTTGAAATTCTGGTCCTAGTAATCTCAAGGCGTCTGAAACTACACTATATTCAAAAAAAGGCACCACTAGGAAGTTTTAGTTGTCTGGACATGGACATGGATTGAAAAGAACATGTCCCATAAAAGCATGCACGATGGTACCTTTGACTGACATCCAATGAAAAAGCCAGGGTGTCTTAGCCATGATCTGGCATCACCACTTCGGGCAGCTGCGTGGCCTTGCAGCTTGCCCAACTTACTTGTTCTACTTCACAAGCATGACGAGAAGCTTAAGTGAAGATCGAAACAACATGAACCAACCATCCGTCAGCAACCAGCTCCCATCATTTCCCCCTTTTGCCACTTCCGTTCAAAGCTCCACACTTTCCGGTCCACCCCAAAAACGTTCCTAAAAACCACCCAAAGCTGCCAACCGTCATCGAACACCGACGCTCCGGTCCCCGCGCGTTCGGGTCTCCTGCGCGTTCGGCTGGTGTTGATGGTGGTGAGTGAGCGAAGCTTGGGCAGTGACGTGGACTCGGAGCGGAGCGGCGGAGGAGGCACCTGGGCGGTCCAGCGGCCGGTCCGGCGCGCGGTCCGGCGCGGCAATGCGTCATCGCTACGAGGTCCAAGAGGGGCAACGAGTTTGGAGGGAAAAGTGTGAATCAAGAGGGTGGTGGTTCCAAGATGATTCCTATAAGCGTCGTTCGAAGCACACCCCTCACCGACCACTTGCACCAGCAGCACCCACCAAACACCGGTACAACGGCGTTACCCAGAGCCCACCCGCGCGGTCAGGTCGACCGGCCTCCATGCCGATCTCTGTGAGTTCTTGATGCACCGCCATCGAGATGCCTTCCACCTCTTTCCGGAGGACCTCGGAGAGTCGGAAGAAGGGTGTGTATTGCCGGAAGAAGGGAGTCTGAAGAAGGCTCCATTGCTGGAAGAGGCGAAGTCTCAGAAGGAAACAACAATGTACCTTTCTGATAAATGGGATGGTACAATGTGCTGGGATGTACCTTTTCGAACACGCACACACACACACATTAAGCATCTTTTAAAATATATCTTAAATGGGATGGTGCTGATATTGCTGGGGTGAGCTTGATCATGTTGTTGCTGCTACCACAGTTGTCATGATCGGTTCATCTGAAGCTTTTGAACGAGCTCCTTCAGTGAGAGGAAACTGTCACTGTCGCTGTCGGGTTCCCAAAATAAGTGCTTGTTTGGAACCTGGTTGGGCTCCAAAGGAACGAAGGCTCTCCTATTACCCCATTGATCTTTTGATCTTCTCTAAACAAACAGGATACACAAAAGGTTCATATAATATTATTACCAACCGGTAAGTGTTTGATGAAATCGTTGCACCACATCGGGACATCAACAAAAACACATCAACAAACCTCGAAACATTTGAAACACATTCCCAAGAATCCTCTAAGGACTTATACTTCGGACACCCGAAGGGCGAAAGGCAAGCAGGCTCAATTGGATTCTTCACGAGTCAACCGAGGGCGGTCTACGAATCGCTATATTCTGAGCTACGCTAGGCTACCACCCCATGCGCCGTCTTCTAAAAAAGACACGTGAGCACAGTGACCCAGTGTTTTCGTTACACTAGGTCAATGATTTTCAGCCATGTCCGACACATCGGCTCAGGGGGAGCTAAACAAACATGGGTGTTCGCCCGATCCCGATCGCAATCTGCCCAGGCACATCTCCTTCGTAGAGCAACTGTGCCATGTTCAAACCTCGGACCCGCGACGAGGCTGGACGATTGGTGTTGTTGGACGGATTTCAACGACACCGTCGTCGTGTTTTTTCTTGTTTTCTTCAAGTAGTGTGAGGGGAGTAGTCCACACTGGACATTGGATCGTTCCTTTCGTTAACTCTTCAGTTCTGAAGTTCTAAGTGTTTGATTTGTCTTTGTTAGCAAGGTTCCAGGCTGACCAATGAACGGAAAGGGCTATTTCAACGACAAACACGTGGAGAAGCAACATCGTCCATTTCTCGGTGCATCAGCAAATTCAACCTCCTGAACCCTTCGAAGGTACATCAAAAATGTACCACAATGTTTGTGTACCAAATACATGGTAGACACAGAAAGGCGCTCGATTGCATAGCTCTTCAATTATACAATTCATGATTTCTGATGACTTCTGATGATCTCTGGGCTACGTGAAGGTGGAGATTTCTTGGCCAAACATCTGGCGATCCCACGGGCAATCGCACGCTGGAGACACATCGAACCATGACCTCAAAAATGACCGGACACCTTCATGTCGGCCTGATCAGGTGCTGCTCATAAATCGTTTCCTCAATCCTCCAACATCCAAAGAACCAAACATGTTCTGATGAAATCAAGTCCCAGAAGTCACTTCAACCCCACCATGAGAGGAGTCAGTATGACATTGTGTTTTACCACTCTTCTGAGGCACCACTGTCCCTCCATCCCCGTAAAAACACGCCCAGTGGCTCGAGGCGGGGCCCGAGAGCCTGGCCACGCCGGCGATCATCTCCTGGCACGGCGAGAGGCCACCCGAGACGTTTCAGCCCGCGAAAATCAATGGATCGATGGTCGCTTGGAGTCCGTTGTGGAGTCCGTGAACAGCGCGGATGGAATGTGAAACGATGTGTTTTTGTGGATGGTGATTGAATCGAAGTACTCAATCTGATCTCAGCACCCAGAGATCAGTGCTCTCGGCTGCCCCGGCGGGATAAACTATTTTGGGGTTGGGTCAATCTGGTTGGTGTTCAAATTACCACTTCCGAGTATACAATTACAATGTTTCAAGAGTTGCTACAGTAGCAATACCAAAGGCTTTGCCAGAGATCAGTCAATAACACAGTTGGTTGGACCATCTCTACACTTTGAGACAGCCAAGGTCGATGTGTTTTAGAATAGGGGACAGCTCCCCCCAAAAAAAAACCGCTGCGAAAAGCACCCAAAAATTCACATCTGCTGATTTTCAAGGAGCACATGGCACAAAAACGAATTGCCAACCCTTTCAGGGTGTCTTTTTCTCTCTCAAACCTACACATCCATCCATCCAGTACGCGCTCTCGGTGCTCCTCGGCACTGAGGTCCTCGGTCTCTCGGAGGAGGTCGAAGATCTCCTGCCGTCGATTGAATCGGTCGGATTCGTCGTGCAGATGTTTGTTGTGCAGTGCAACAACAAAGCATTGTTTGGATGGAAACAAGACCTCAGGGTGAGGGAAGTACAACTGTTGATATATTCCATGTTTGTTGCAGTTCGCCAGTTCTCAGGTGGCATCTGCCCATGAAAACGCCCAGGCTAAAACATATTAAATGAACAAACGAAAAACAACTGCAACTGTGCAACTGTTCGCAACTGGCTGGGTGTTCTTGGAGTACCCCACATCCCAGAAACACAACATACATACATAAACAACAACGACGTGTACGGCGTGACTTCGTCAAACCACCGAACTACGCAGTCAACAGACGTGTCGCTGCAGCGAACATGCGGTGCTCGTTTTCGTTTGCGAAGGCACGACCGGGTCGACGGCCCAAAAGTCCAGATACTGGACGACTCGACGATTGGACGAGGGTCGCAAGCCACACAGCCAGTGTTTGTGGCTACCGCGGTGTGATGATACTGTATGTTTACACCTTTGAGCCAATCCACAAGGCAACTAATCCAATCCATGTTTGATGCTATCAATTGGTCATAAAGGGTCTCCATCGCAACTTGAACCTGATATGAAATCAATCTCACCTCTGCTGAAAATGCGAAATGACCTTTCAATACAACTTGGGATCGTTGGCCAGGGCACGTTGGAGCTTGTGACAATGTCGAAGCCCATGGCGCTCAGCCAACGGGAGACCTGGTGGCGGTGTGAGGTCTTCAGCCGAAGGCAGGATGTTGATGTTCGTTGGAGACCCCGTATCGCCCTTTTGGTATCATGTTCAGCGTGGCTCCAAAACCATGCCACGTCGTCTTCGCTTTTGGTCCTGATATTATGTGCATGCTACTATATGCTGAAGGACTCCTGGTTGAAACCCTGCCCAAGGCAGAAGGGACAGAACTCCTTTTGAGCCTAGAAGAATACCTTCTGAGCTAAGTCAGCTTTGTGTTGCTGAAGAAAAAACATATATGCTGCATTGCGGGTCATGGCACCAGAGATACCTTCCAGTAGACCTACTGCTGGAACCAGGTCTTGACCGGGGCTTCGTTCGGGGCTGTCTTCAGCTACCGATTCGAGACATCGAGGTGCCAAGGGATCTGCCAAGATCTCTGCGAACTCCTCCCGGTCCAAGCGCCCGTCCCCGTTGGTGTCCGCCGCTTCGAACAAGATCGACCTGCGGATCGGGTGAAGTGGCGAAATCCTTGGATTCTAAGGTGAATGATCCAAGTCTAAGGTGAACACGAACCAGTGTGAATTCTGGCAAAACAAACAGAGGTTTGAAGTTTGGATGGTCCGAATATAAAGGTCATATCCCAATGAACTGTCATGTCAAATGTTCTGCTTTTTCACATTCTGGTCATTCTCTCTGCTTATCAAAGTCTCTTCTTGAGGGGAAACAACTCTGGAGACAAATACCGTACTATGCCCATCAAGGATAAGTCAGAACTGCTCAAGGAACAACTTTTACCTCACGTCTTCCATAGCACGAACCACGATCACAAAGACATGTCTGACCGCAAACCAGCAAACGATCACAATCTCAACCTGCTAAAGCAAAAACACCGTGCTCTATTGAATGGTCCTACCATCCTTTGATCCGCCAAGTGACATCTTCATCTTGTGCGTTTGGAGCGCTCGGTCTTTCGAATTCATCATGATCCTCGCTTTTGGCATCCCGCTGAGGCCACTTGAATTGAACCGGGAGGTGTATGGGCCCAGGAATTCACCAAGGACATTCCAAGGGAAACCAGCCTACCTGCCATGCAGGGACTTTTGCAAGGGCCTGTGCAAGGATGCTTACAATGCTTACACCTTCTGGTAGCCCTGAGTGGACAGCATCCTGCGATGTTTCTGGTACAGTCGTATTGTTCTCTTTGCATGTCCAGTGCGAATGGCCACCATTGTTCCAAAAACGACATTGATCGTGACCAAATGAACGTCACACCAAATGGCCAATCTTCCACCTTGTGCGGCTACCCTGACTCTGTGCAAGCAACATGGGTGAGAATATGGTGTCAACCCACTGATCTCATGATCCCGTTCGAATCCATTGGTCTGGATCAGGACTCACAGTACAACTCCAAGCATCATAACGTAACACATCACGTTCGCAGTCACATGAATGTGAGGAACCAGTGAACGCACGGGGTCGAGACTTGCTTCAACTTAAAACCATTTCGTTCCACTACTGGGCTACTGGGTGACTAAAAGGTGGTAAATCAGTACCCACCATCCACACTATGGTGTATCATATGTATGGCCATACAATAATGAAATCGGAGCCGTCTCTTTCAGCCGAAGTTCACATCATCATTGGCGGCAACGCTGAATGTGTTTTGCAGGAACACACCCATGATGACTTTCACCACCTGAGCAAAAGAGCAAAATGACATGCACCTCGGATGGGTCATCATCCCAACTATATATGGCTGTGATTCAAAACCAGCCCAAAACTCCCCCTGGTAGGTGGACCTCCATTTGGTTCATTCTGTGGTCAACCAAGGACCCCGCCGCAAGTCGCGTGCCGCCCGGGTGCGTCGACTCCCACCACTTCAGTCTCCCGGCCACCCGAACAAGTCGAGTCCCTACCGTCTCAAAGGGAGTCGAAGTCCGATTGAATGAGTTGATGGCTCCTGACAGGTAAGGTTTCTCAAGCTCCAGCGGACACTTCCTTCTAACCTGGTGTGGTTTTTGACCGCAAAGCGCTTGGCCGGATTTCTGGGTGGAAATGGTCTAAGCCCACAGAAATCCCATCGAACACCATGAGCCACAGGGAACCAATGGGTTGCACAAGAGGGACATCAGTTTTGTCCCGTCCAGTGATTTCTTGGCTCATGCTGGATGCCTTGATAAGTCGCCGAGCAGGTGGGTGTTCGCTCAAATCCATCACCCAAAACTGTCCTGAAGAGCAAACATTTCAACATCTGTTGATCATAGCGACCATAGACTATGACTTAAAAAATACTTGAACTCTATTCGACCTTGGCTTTGAGCATGTTCTTGGGATGTTGACAGATCGCAACTGATCTTAGCTCCTCAGATCCGGTTCCGGTCACCACCGGTCGGTCTCCGGTCGCCGGGGCGCTGAGAATCCCATAGACGCTTGAAACATCAGCACGAAGATGGTATAGAACTCGCTGACGTCTTCCTGAACAAGAAGGCAAAGAACACTTTAAATAGGTCTTGAGTCTTGACCCACAAATAGGTCTTGCACGGGAGAACATATACTGTAGGTATGTGAATTCATGTTGGTGTGCTTCTTGCGAACGCCCCCAACATCTTTACGTTTCTTGTTCTCTGTGGGCAATCACTAAATTCTGAAAAAAACAACATGAAACAAAGCATGTCTTTTGTGCGAAGCACGAGCAAGTGATTGGCACGGTTTGAACCCTCAACCCAACGGCACAAAGTCCAAAGGGAGCCCACCGCAAATCTTCCTTCTCTGCTGAGAAATGGGTTTCAGGCGCAGCTCAAAGACATGGAGACAGGCGCTGCTCCAAAGGTTTTCCTACAGGGATCCATCAGTTCCACTCTAGACTCTAGACATCACCTTTGTCCTTGCTTCGGGCGCTCTGCCTCTTCCTCGCGAAAAACGCGCACGCGATAGACCAACGCCAAGATGCTGTCAGCACTCGGGAGGCCGGGACCCAATTCGCCAGGGTCAACTCCAAAAGAGTCCTAAGGGAAGGTGGAAGACATGATGAAATGATGTCTTAAAAAGCCCGTATACAGGTGGAAGACAGGTTGACACCCAGCTCGGAACCATGCCTCTTTTTCCTTAGTTTTGATGCGCAGCACAACGGATCCTTTATGATCCTTGATCCCCATCGATCCCCTTACGGTGCTTTTCTGCACGGTTCGTGAACACTTATGTTTCTATAGGTCCAAAACATCATGCTACACCATGCGACACCATGATCGCACGGACACCAACCCCCATGGCACCAGTCCAGTCCTTGGTGGAGTTTTCACCGTATAGTCACTTCCCGAGAGCTGAGCCAACCAACAAGGTACCAACGGGGGAGTTGTAGCAAACAATGGGACAATCAACCGCCTTGTGGGCCCGCGTCTGATGAAGCTGCTCCATTTGGAGAGATTGACTTCCTCATTTCTGAGAACGGTTTTTCCCCCAACCTGGTTTTCAGACCAGCGAAATCGGAGGACCGGAATGCCCGCATTCAGCACCAGTTGCAAAGCGCAGCGCGTAAAGGTCCCATAGTACTCGAAGACTCGTAGTCCTGAAGCTCCAAAACTCACTGATCACTCGTAGTTTGAAGACCCTTGTGGGTTGAATGGCTCAGTATGAACATCATGTTCTCCTTCAGGTTTTGGTGATGCAATTCCAGTTCGGACGGGGAAGAGGGATGGACATTTTTGGAAGGGAAAAAGAACTGAACAGAGAGAACAACAAATCACCCGCGGTGATGCTGGCAAAGGGGAAGTTGCAATAGATTTCAAGTTGCATCATGAACATTTTCGTCTAGTTTCACCCTCTAGACCTCGATTGGCTGGGATCGCGGAAGGTTCCCCAGAATCGCGACCAAATGATCTAAACATCAAATGTAATGGTTTTAACCAACAGGCCAACAGGATCCCTAGTCCGTTGATGCATCCAGTGGATGCATTAGATTGCCCCATCGCTCCGTAAATTGGATTCTCTTGAACAAAACTGGACGGTGATTGCGTCCCTCAGCAGTGAGGCTCCAGAGACAGAAGCGTTGTGGAGAATTTGTGAACATAACTAAAGTAGATATACCTCTCAAGTATCAGAAGTGTTTCTCATTCCTATAATATCATCCCCACTTGCCATTTGGCGCCAGTATGTCTGAGCTGCGTCTTTCCAAGGGGTTGCTGTCGCTGTTCAAGTAGACATCCACCAACGTGGTGAGAATCAATGCAATGGTCCTCAGCAGTGCTCGTCGTCACTCGGTGCGCTACGTGACCGAATTCGTTGGGACCCTCGACTTCGCGGGGCCGGTGAGCAAACGTGAGGACGCCTCGTCGAAGTGCTAGGGGGCGCGGCCACAGTGTTTAGGGGCGCGGCCAGTCAGTGTGGCCGCCAGCTCCTTTTTTTTCGAAGATAGAACCCCAACGGTAAACTGTTTGGGGAATGAATTAAATGCCTGGGCTTACATGAAGCACGGCTTTCCTGAACCCCAAAGCATTGAATTGCTTAGGAGCGGTCATTCCTCTTTAAATCTGGGTGGAGGTCTCCAACGTTGGTATTGTGAGACTAGTGTGGGGTAGAAGCAGGATGAGGGTCTTGCAGGGTAGGCTTGAATAGGAACTATCTGCAACTCCTCTGCTACCTTCTCAAATGGGGAATAAACTACAAAATGAGCAATTCCCCTTTTTCAGGCCAAAAGATTGTCAACCATCCATACTGGGCCAACCACAGCTTTGGCGGGCGCGGTTCCAGCGGGACGCCACGTCCCGCTGAAACACCGAGGCGCGTGAGCACCGCGAAGAGCAGCACCGTGGACCAAAGCAAGGCAGAAAAGCTGGCTTTGATGGAGGTCACCTAAGTCTTTCGTTTCGTCCAGCTGTCGAAACCGACAAGGCTGTTTTTATCGAATTTCCGGGGAGGTCATGATTCAGTGAATGACCATCTTGACTGATGTACTCTGTAATTCTGTGGTAAAAGTCCCTGCAATCTCGCGATCACTTGGGAGACTGGTCTGGTGGATCTCGGATGCGGCTCCGGTTTCGCGGGCGATCGGATCTCTCCTACATATAATAGATGAACTTGTATACTAGCAGGCACATGGGGCTAGTGAATAGGTCTAATGCTGCCATGTGACCCCGCAAACGCATACCAAGGCTTATAAAATCCTCCTGTACACCAAATGTAGCACCTGCAACACCTACCCTTCATCACTTCAGATGGATTGTTCTGGTGCTTCAACATGTATTTGGGCAAACAAAGCCCGACTTCTTCTGAAGACCTTACCTTTTCCCTCCAGTCGCTGGCTCCTTCCTTCTTTCGTTCCATTTCTACAGAACCTTCAGCCAGCGTTCAAGGCACCATGATGTACAGGGAGTCGAAGCCCTTGACCTTCCTGGCGTCACGCGCAGGAAGGTAACTGAAAGCGCATGGTCGGGTGGAAGAACGACCCCCTTGGCCATTGGGCCATTGGAGTCTGAACATCGGCAATCTGTTCGATGGAGGCAGGTTGAATGCGACCGAAGGCAGGTTGCACTTCAAGACTGCAGTCAGTGCCATACCCCTATAGGCTCCCGCCCAGGCTTGGCTCCCAGGACCGAAGGATCGGGTCGCGATCCGTCCTGATGAGCCGCAGGAGGCGGAAGAGCTTGATCAACCGCAGCAGGCGCAGGAGCATCGGGTCCACCGGCAAGGAGGCCACGGTCACGGTGTCTACGGCCCAGGCCACCACCACGAAGCTTAGCCGTTGAAAAGGGTTGGGTGAAGGGGGCCAGACGCCGTGTGGAAAAGAAATCTGACTTTTAAAAGATTGACTTGGTGTAGGCGCCCCCCAGAAGGTCACCAGCTGCATGTCCCATCAAAGACATCAATCACATAGTACACAAACTGACCTTGCTCAAAAGAAAGCTTCAAAGGCCCTGCGTGCGGAACTTTCACATCTTCCGGGCGAGAACGAAACACATCCAGACTGTTGCTTTAGTCCATGTGTAGTCATACTAGTATCCAACATGACGATATTGAATCAATACTTATAGACTTATATATTTATATATGTGTCTGCAGGTGCTTCCAGTTTTCAACCACTCTTGAGGGTCGATGTGACATGATCACCTCCAATCCAACACTCTCACAGCTCCTCGCAACGTCGCATGGTCGACGCGTCCGAGCAGCATGGTCGCCTCCCGTCTAGACCGCCAAGTGGCAGATCCAAGACGTTCCAAGGATCACACCAAAAGCGACATCGAGCCGCAAGGATGCGCACCAAGATCTCCTCAGTGTCACGGTGCGCATTCCATGCGTGTCACGTGACGTGACGTTCACGTTGAGTCTGTTAGTTCCAATTCGGAATGGTTGTTAGGTCCCCAAGTGAGTGGATGTTGGCACCCCTATCACGCCTTTTTCGCATCCCTTTAGCACCTGGTCGTTGGCACCAAAAAGGTGACATGTGGGGCCACCGACGTCGTGACCCACCGACGTCGAGACGTCTCGAACGACCGGAAGACCGGCGTTTGGGGGATCTGGTCTTGACGACGGACGACCTGCCACGTGCGGACGACCAGCTGCGGAGATAGATCATATTTACAGTAATAATTTTGGAGGTACTCCCACCTCCTACTCCTACCTCCTACCTGCAAACTCCTTACTGAGTAGCTGACTGTTTTGGAGGTAGGCACTGGCAGTTGACCGACATCATGTTAGCCACTGTTCTGGCAAGACATGATATGCGTGAAGTCATGCAGCATGCAGGTGCTTGAGCACCGTCCACACCATAGGGATTGGAGGTGGACCTGCAGACTTGCTGACCTCCTCAATTTTCGATGGAACCTGAGAAGTTTCGAACCAACAAAACTCCGCAAAAATCCAACGAAAGCATTGCTCACCCTCACAAGGTCTACCCCTGCGGGTCACCCACAAAAGCAAGCCATGGTCCACCGTACTTGGATCGACCATGATCAACCACAAAATCATTATCTTCACTACTAACAAACAAGCAATTAGCTATGCGTCACAAACGGACTTACAATTGATTTTGAATTTTGCGTACTTTATCTCGTATAGGAATAATGTGTCCATTCTGGACTGAACGAATCAAGGGCAGTGCACCAATTGTTGTTGCTGGATCTTTGTCAGCCTCAGCGACAAATGCAGAAGTTGTGAGTGAACGTTCTGGGCTGCAATAAGCTCACTAAGCAAAGCCGTTGCCCCATCTGTCATGGCTGCATCTTTTCAGCTTCGACGTAGAGTTCACTGAAAAAAACAGCTCCAGACTTCAAGAAACATAGCCCTTGCCCCATCTGTCCTTTCTGAATCTTTGTCAGCTCCAGCTTCCAGCAACAATCTCATAACTTCCAAGTGACCTTTCTGGGCTGCAACAATCAAAGCCGTTGTCCCATCTGCCATTGCTGCATCTTTGTCAGCTCCAGCCTCGAGCGACAATCGCACTGCTTCCAAGTGGCCGCTCTTGCGTGCAATGAACAATGCGGCGGCACAATTGTGTGTTTGCCGACACCTGGTCAGGGTCAGCTCTAGTTTCACGTGCAACAATCGCACAACTTCCAAGTTGCTTTTCTGGGCTGCAACAAGCAAAGCTGTCGCCGCATTTGTCCTTGCTGACTCCTTGTCAGCTCCAGCCTCAAGCAACAATTGCACAATTTAAAAATGGACTTCCTTGACTGCAATAAACAAGGCCGTTGCCCCGGTCCCATCTGTCACCGCTGCATCTTTGTCAGCTCCAGCCTCGAGCAGCAGGCGGACGACTTCCAATTGGCCTCTCTCAGCTGCAACAGACAAGGCGGTTGCCCCATGTGTCATCGATGCATCTTTGTCAGCTCCAGCCTCGAGCAACATTGCCACAACTTGCAAAGGCCTTTGTCTCCGCTGCATTGGACAATGCAGCTGTTCCATTCATCTTCGCTGACTCCTTGTCAGCTCCAGCCTCGAGCAACGATCGCACCACTTCCAAGTGGCCTTCCTCTGCTGCAAGAAACATAGCCGTTGCCCCATCTGTCCTTTCTGAATTTTCGTCAGCTCCAGCTTCGAGCAATAGTCGCACCACCTCCAAGTGGCCGTTCTCGGCTGCAACAAACAAACTTGGCCCATTAGTATCCTGTGGTCTTCGAAGCAGTTTGTCTATAGCGATAACATCATTTTCCTCGCAGCTGCGAACTAGTTCTTCCTCCAGAATCTCATCAAATGCACAGACCGGCATGATTGTCACCTGTACACTTGGTGGCCTCAATGGCATGTCATCCTGCAATTCTCAAAATTCATCACTGAAGAGCCTGGCGCTGAAACCTTGAGCACCCAAGCTGAGCTGAAAGAAGCTCCTTTAGATTGCTTTAGGTCCCGAATGGCTTTTCCACTTTCCACCATGCAACGGTACTCATCCTCATCAAGCTGTGCCACTATGTGCCAAACAAAGCAGTCACCTGCATTGAATCATTATAGTATATTCAAAAGCAACAAGACCGGCTTGAGCCATGATGAAGTCACTTTCACAAAAGTTGGATGGCGGAAAACACAACAAGAAGCCGGCAGGCAAACGCATGACTTATGAAGGTTTTGTGAAGAAGAGACTACTAAGTCTGCACAAATGGTGTGGTGACCGTGCACGGCGGCCGAACGAGTGATCCACTCGTGGACTGTCCCAGTCATTCTGAACTGTCTGCTTTCACTGGCCTGCAAGTCTTAAGCCATCCAACTAACTGCGCCCAAACATGTTTCTTTGATAGATCAAATGGGGACCACACGTTTTTCAATCCTAGACGTCCCCCAAAAGCAAAAACTCGTGCAAACATGGAGCACACACCTTTCGGAAAGGCGCCATGTGAGTGATTTGAGGTCGAAAGCCATAGATTCCTCGCTCCAGGTGTTGCGTCGAATGCGTGCCAGAACAGCAGCACCCTCCGCTCCAGCGCCACACCCCCCACCCCTTTCAGAGTCGAGAGGCGAAAAGGAAAACAACCTGGGTGACATGCGAAACGGAACACTTGGACATTTAAGGAAAGCCTCGACTCGTGAATGGATTTGGTTTCTCCAAGGACACGCTTCCAAGAGCAGAAAGTGGTGCAGTACTGTACTCATCAAGAGTAAGGGTATGCGCCCTCTGAACCATCGTGATGTCAAACCAACAGTTGAAAAAATGCTTTGCAAAGGGACGTACCATGAACAAACTGACAGCCTGCTCAACTGTTGTTGTTTTGGAAGGCTTGACTCACAAACCAGACTGGTCACGAACTCTCGCAAGTGGCCAAGAAAATACAACGGTCATGAAGCATCGCATCGTCGCGTTTAGGGACCAGGGATGTTTAGTGCAAAAATGGGCAAAGCAACATGGACCCCCTGGCACCAACAGCTGTTGAACGGAACTTTCTCTCTGGTGTGGTCTCAGGTCACGTCAGTGGAAACACGCGTAGCGAAGCCGCAGGGAGGGGCCCTTCTCCTCTGCATCGCCACTAGTAGCTTCTTGCTACCTAGTAGTAATGGCCCTCCAACCTAATAGCGTTCAACTTTCGTGGCACGTGGTGAGGTGGGGAGGATCAAACCCTCAAAGCGCACTCCAAGAGATGTGTAACTCCTTCGTGCAACTCCAGTTGCACCAGTGTTGTACTTCGTGCAATGAAACTATTCGTTCCAATTAAACAAAACAACACAATTTTCTTTGTGTCTATAGTCCTCAGAAGAAATCGCCAGTATCTGCCAGTTATATAAGACCTCCTTCCCAGAAACACCAATGGTCAGCTCCAAGCCGTTGAAGACAGGAGCTGCGTTGGGCCAAACCCTTGGCCGATCGCCGATGGCCGATCGTGCTTCCACTGCGCAGGGCGGAAAGAGCTCGGCCAAACGCACGAAGACTGGATACAAAGCAAAACACATGCCTTTTTGTTAGTATAGCGATGCCCTTGTTCCTAGTAGCGATGCCGTGAGCTGATAGTAGCGTCCTTGCTCCTAGTAACGATGCCAGCAAAAAATGTTCCCTCTCGGAAATTTGGGCTTGCTTTCGCTTCCATCGTCAAGAGTAATTGTGCATCCTCCTTCGCACGAGACGCACACTGGCTGCGGAAGAAGCGTCTCTTCGGCTGGGTAGAACATCCCGAAGTAACCCAACTCATAGCCTCGCGGTCGCGGGAGAGCTTGGAGGTGGAACAGAATCAAACTGTCACTGTGCAAACATCAATTCATAGCCTCATCGGGTCAATTCTATGCCCCCGATGATCCAAAATAACTGGCAGCTTTTGCGAGAAAATCAAACAACCTGAAACAACAATTTCATATAAAATCGTATAAATATATTCTATCGTCACCCAAAATTGATAGAAGCTTCTGTGGGAAAGTCAATTCGCTCTAAAGGATTATAAAGAAGATGTGTTGCACATTGTTTTCATCTATTTGGACTATCTAACAAAAATTAAGGCTCAAAACGTCGACTTCAAGCCTGCAATCGAATCCCCCTGATCCTCGCCTACATCGAAGCCATGGTATTGCACTTGCAGCGCCATGACCTCACAAAACCGCGGAAAAAAGCAGTCCCAGGCGCCACTCTGCACGAGCAGCGAGACGAAGCAGAAAAATCATGTCTCTGTGTGCTTTGAAAGACCTGCCAAGGACCACTCAGAAGAGCAAACAACATTTCCCAAACACGGATTGAGTCTGGCAGCCTGGCATTTTGGTGGAAAACATCCGGTTCTTACAATTGCCAACCTTTCACGCATCCCCGTTTGCATATATCATCCAGTCTCGAAGCTTCGCTTCGACGAAACCCGTTGAACCGCTCCACCACGCCACCCGGTGACACCAAGGCCGTGGCCAGGCTACTGAGGAAAATCAGCACCGCCTTAGGTCTTTCGGAGGATGAAGCGAAAAAAATGTGGAACACTTGGGACTTTAGTGGAAGTGGATCAGTTGAGGAACTACTGCACCTGGTATGAGCTGCTGGTTGAGATGTTGGAATGTGACATGGTGTGATCATGACTGATCCCCATAGCCAAGCAGGGTGTGGTCAATTCTTTACTAACCGTTCACTGGTCCTGGAACAGTTCGGTTATTGCTGAGTTGAATGTGTTCAGTTGGCTCGCTTAGGCAGTGGGCAGTGGGCAAAGACCAGGTTTCTTTGTCTTGAACAGCAATTTCCGATGGCTTCCAGGTGACCCAGAAGCAGTGAAATGTAACAACGTACTGTTGGGTTTGCTTCACCATTCACCTCAAAAAGCTAACCGCACTTGAACTGGTATGACATAATTATGGACCATGGATGTTGATGGCATGGCTCCGAGTGCAGATGACCATGAAATCCATTGAAAGCCTCATACCAAACATGTGGTGAACTCCACTTCCATGATTTCAGGGAGTGTCTCCTTCGTCACATTTCAACGACTTCACATGTCCCAACCTCTCGATCGGCCAGGCTACGCGTCAGCTCTGCTTTTTTCTGCTTCACTCCGGTATCATCGGGTCGACATGGTATACACGTACACATGTTGTTAATGTTGTTGTCCAACATGCACTCCATCAGACTTGTTGGGAAAGCCCGCCGAACGTGTACTGTGGACCATACTGCTGCTTCCAGTAGAGGGAAACATCACGAAGGATCCCTTGAACGACTCACACTCCAAAGGCATCTGCTGCTCGTGCTGCTTGCCGACCAAACGTCGCCATCTGCACCCACTTTCGCAGATGGAGGCTTCAGTCGTGGGTCTCGGATCCCGAAGCATCCCAGCATCCCAGCATCCCATCCCTTCCTTCCCTTCGTCCCAGTGGCAAAGGTGAGATCGAACTTGGGCGACTTCACCAACTCTCGAAAGAACACCCACCAGGAGAAGGGCCCTGAGGCGAGGCGAAGAGGCGACGGAGGGACCTTTTTCCGCGCTTCACGAGGGGGATGATGGAACCGAAGAAGGAGAGAAAGGGGGGGGGGTGGAGATCCAAGTGGCACTGGGAAGGGTCAAAGGGATAGGAAGTAAACTTGTAGTTGTTCAATTACTGTATAGGATTGATTGATAGAGTGTTTATCCTCTATGGTTCAGAATGCTGTTTCATCGGAGCAACCCAAAGCTCTCCTAACATCCATCAGATCAACATTTGCAGCAATTTATACCCTGAGAGTCTGAGACGATTACAGTAAATGACACAATCCCCCGAGTTGGGAGGTTTATATGGACCCCCATCTAAATACATCTTTGGGGGTGCCAGAGCCATCGATATACTGAGACCACTGTAAAAAGAATGGTCTGACTCTGTCCGAGGTCCAAATTTAGAACTCAACATGAACCTCCTTCGCCAAGAACTTCATCAAGGGCATAGACTTTTGTTTGGTTCCATCTGTTTGTTCAACCCGCACTTTTTTACGCACTTGTGGCCAAGCTTTAAAGGTTCCTGTTGGAATCTAACTTTGTCTTGACAGTTGGATCCGTATTCATGAAAACACACAACAACAACAAAAATAAAAGTATCCTCCCAAATAAGACCTATATTTCATATAGAACAATATGTTCTTCAAAGACGAACATCTACGACCAGTGGTGAGTCCCTCTTAGGTTGAGGTTCCACCTCGGTCTTCGTCTCCCGCCGGCCTGGGTTGACCTCGCGCCCCAGGTTGGACACGTGGGAGCCAGCACGGAGCCTCATACTGAGACGACATGTGAGGGTGAGTGTGGGTGGTGAGAGAATACGCTTGGTCAGTGGGTGTGTATAGTATATTTAAGTATATTCTATGGATTTATATTTAGGTGTATATACTTATAGTCAAACGTGGTTTCCCCAATGGACATCTTGAGTTTAGGTGCTAAACAGCTAAGCAGCCAACGTCCCCTCCACTAGAAAATAGATTCCATAATTTTGGCTGTGCCCATCTTTGAGAATGGACAGTTGCCAAGCCTTTCAGAAGAAATGACGCATTGAAGATTGTTGAACTGGACAAAATATCAAAGTCAACAATCCCACAGCTCCTCTTCGTCCATCATGGGACGTGCACAGGCCACCTTTCTGCTGGAGCCATTTATCCTGAAGTCTTCTATGTAAGCTTCAATTGTAGAAGACGTGGTTGTTCTTTGTTCATGATGTTAAAACGGTTTTTGCTCCATTCATCCTGGCCAAACCCTTGAAACTCTGAATTTCTGTGAGGTCGTCCCGAAGACAAAACATGGTCGTCCGAGGTCAGCTCGGTGGACCAGGTGAACAGGAAACGTAGACCGGGTGAGACCCGGGGGGTTCTCGAGCAACAAGCCGTAGGGCCGTAGGCTTCACACAGTGGGCCGTAGAAGATGGTTGCTCCCAGGGAAAACGCACAAAGGAAGCTAAAAACCACTGGTTTGTGGAGGAAGCTAGTCTTCCAAAGGTATCCAAAGATAAATTCTCAGGTTCTATGTGGGTCTCTTCCCGGGTGCAATCTCAACAACGAATCTTTAGCACCTACGTATGGTTGATTTGAATGAGGCTCACACCTCTTCACAAAATGGTTCCTCACACCATCTCACACCTCTGGTCACCCCTCCTCCTAGATGTCAACCTGGTGAACTTTCAATCATCCAGCTTGGATCCTGGGTCCCCCACAGGCTGCGGATACGTGAGTAGCCTGGCCACGAGTACCAGGGCCCGCATGAGTAGATGGGTGGTACCTTCAAACGCGAACATGGTTTGGTGCAACCCGGATTCAGTCTGCAATTGGGAGTTCCTGTGCAGCTGTCCAGGTTCATTCAATTTTGGGTGACGGATTTACAACATCCTGAAAAAATATCCTGAGACATGACTCATGGAACCCAGATTTGATCGTTCTCATCAAATTTGGAAGAACAACATCTTCTGATTTTTGTGCCTCTCATTGCCTCAGGTTCCTGACTAACACCGCCGGCGTCTCCCGTTATATAAGGGCCCAGTGCCACCGCAAGCCACAGCCTCTTCTGGTATCGCTGATGCTTGGCTGGACCTGGAGTCATGGGGTTTGACGTTACGGATGGTGGAAGCGGCAGGTTCTAAGTGTCTTTGAGTGGTGAGCGGAGGTAATTCTTGACAAATTAGGGTTGCATTCAGTCTGGAGGCTTCTACTTGGTTGGTTATATCCTGATTTATCATATCAACATCTTTTACAATCCTTTACAGTGCCCTGCCCCAATGACCTCACCTCATTTGGATCTTTTTCCTCACATCGATCCTGGTTACAAAGACTGACATCCCAATGTATTCAATTGTCGTCATTTGGCCCCCGTCTGATCATCCGATCCAGCTGGGCCTTTTTCTGTGGTCGAATGCATGTTTGACTGCCCAATTTGCACTGGCAGGAGACGAGCAAACCTCTGTATAGGCACGGTCAAGGTGCTTCCTCCATCCCTCCAAACAATTAAACATGTCTGCCAAGACTGCCTGCGCCGCGTCTGCGCTGTCAGTCTTTCTTGCATCAGGAGGGTCTTCCACTTTCACCTGCACAGTCAGGTCAGCCATCGCATGGCTCGGCCTCGAAGAGTTGCATGTCGTTCTTCTCTGTGGTGTACGATGTCCACCCAAAATGAGCATGCACGGTATTGATGTACGGAATGGGCAACTCGGAGTTCATGTCTATCTGTAGCTTCCAAAGCTGATGGTGTCAATGAGCATGTTCCTTTGTTGTTGGAACTTGGGGCCTGCTGGATCTATGTACTACCGTGCGAACAGGGGGAACAGGGGGCAAACCTCACATGTTCCTAACATGACGATACAAACATGTGAACATCACATGGATCTGGGGCACCAAGACAGCTCCAAAATCGGCTGGAATAGTTGGTTGATGTGGAGCTTACAACACAAGTAGGTCCTATTCTGGGAAGTGTGTTTAAGGGATGCTAGTCTTGCTAACGACAGAGTGCAAGTTAACTTGTTATTCTTGTGAGCCTCTTGAGACTTTCCGACCATCCTAACGATACGAATCTTCGGACGTTGACCGAAGCTCCAACATCCACACGGTGCCGACATCCCCCACCTCAAACTCATGCGGTGCATCTGGATCGATCTGAGCACGGATGGACCCATCTGATCTTGTCCATTTGACATGTGGCTCTTGCTCATTATCCAAAGGCCTAGCAGTTCAACCCCCATAACCATGCATCTACAGCGAGAGTTGAACTCTGATGGTTGCGCCAGAAAACTGAAATCACACCGACTTAGGCGTTCACACTTGTCAAGTCAACTCTGACTTTCTCTCGGAGTTTAGGATACCTTCTGGAGTTCCCGGCCTCAAAGCCATTGGCAACGGCTGCTTGAGCTCCCTTTGGGTTGCTCAAGGTCCCCTGCAGGACAATAGCGACTGGGAGTCCGATGCTGGCTACCAGCGGCTGCCAAGGAACAATGGGGAGAAGCCTGCAGCCTTGGCTAAAAACCGTGATGCATGTTGATCCGTGGACTGAACATGTCAGGTCGATAGCAACAACACAAATTCATTCTGTGTCATGTAGACCGTTGATTAACAGACACAAACCCCTACCAAAATGGTTTTACATCTCCATATGGGGGTTCATCAATCAACAGAGTACAATGGTTTACTTTATATACATCCTGAATTCTTCCACCTTATGGAGGAGGTGTCCCCTCTTGACTCAAAAAAAACTTCCCTGTGCGTACTGTATGGCATTGCCGTCCAAAGTGCTCACCCCAGCAAAAAACGAGATGACTAGCCACTCCTGCTACAGTAACTCTAATTATAACCTATAACTAGCCTATAACCTAATTATCGATAGTCACTACACTTTGGTGTGTTTACCAAGAGCCAACAGGCAAATTCCAAAGAGGTCAATGTGAACCTCGAACACCATATCCATTGAACATACCCCATCCTTTGCTCGCTTGGTCGGGACAAACGCGCCACGCCTCGCTGCCGATAAAATCCACACCTGCAAGGAGCACAGGCGAACCACAAGGAGCACAGCCCAGAAATTCAGGTTGCTTGGTACCCAGGTCACCCACAGCTTACGATACGACTTTTTTCGGGTCCAGTTTTTGTTGGTTTTTAGAGTCTCAACATGAGGTGAGCGACCAACTAACAGGCAAAGATAGGCAAAAGGTTAATCTTTATCACCTGTACACTTATACACTTAGGGCCTAAAGGGTCTTCGAAACAGCCCCCTTGTTTGGAGATCTGCAACTGAACAGCTAGTCCCAGACATTTTGAGTTTCAATGGATGCAACGCACATGCTATGAGCAAATGCCACGAGCGCAAATCACGTGACAATATTGCTTTGAAACGTTTCGACCTTCGACCTTGCAAGGGCTGAAAGCAGATAGTCTACTGACTCGTTGTTTCTATGGCATGTGTGGTTGAAAAGCTTCTAGCGGCCATGCTCTCCATGTAACGAACTCAACAATCTTTTTGACGAGTTTCGATGTTGTGAACTGTGAACTCCAGTAAAATGAGCTCATTGACTTGTAGGGTTAACTTTTGGCTTTGAGATTTCAGCTCCCCTCCAACAACCGTCGAAGCGTATCAACATGCCACCGTGTCTCTCTCCCAGTCCATCTGGCCAAGTAAAACACTCTAAGTCTTGAAATCTGACGTTCCAAATCTGGCCAGTTGAAAGGAAATTGGTACTACCTCCCAGGTTTGGTACTGAACTGGCCAGAGTTTGGTAGTTCAGAAGTTCCATTTCTGGTTCAAAACTTCTGAACCTTCCACCTTTTGGTACTACCTCCAGAACAGGTCGGAACTGGTACACTGGCCGCCAGAAGATCTGTCTCATTGACTCGCACTCCCCATGGCTTGACGGAGGCCATCTACTGAGAATATGTCTGTGTGTGCAAGCAGGGCGAGTTCAATGAACGATCTGGTGATGGAGCTGGATCATAAACTTGACTGTGGCGGCTTGCACTTGAGCTATGCAGCTATGCTAGAAGTAAGAAATCCTCTCTGAGGATGGGAGTTTAAGAATCAATAATACACTGGCAAAAAGTTACTCTAATCACTTGGCTATTCACCCACCCGCTCAAAAGTAGTGGTGATGTGTCGAAATCCATCGGAAATACGAGCGAGGTGATCGTCGCAGGCATGAATGATGACATGTCCAATCCATCCATCCCCGAAAACATATGTGGACATTTCGCTACGAACGGAGCAAAGGGCATCGCTACTAGGAGGAAGGACTCTACTAGGGGCTCCTGGCATCGCTACTAGTAACAAAAAGCTATTGGATTTAATATATCATGCACATTAAAGTGGAAGGCATAGGCCCCCAAAAGAGGACCATGAATCCTCATACCAAACAGGTGGTGGCTTTCCACTTCCATGAGTGGATTTCCACTTGAGATGAAAAGGGATGTTTCGAACACGAAACGCACAGAGCTTCCATCCCCCCTTATCCTCCGTGCGAGGCCTGACTCAATCACCTCCTGTCGCGAGATGGTCCATCTCCTTCGGCCCTGGACAATCTCATCGGACCTCATTGGGCGCGTGGACCAATGAAAGGTGGGTGTTTTTCAGTCAAGGAGCTGGAGACATTGAAGGCCAGGGAGGTGATGTGGGTTGCAAGACATGGTATCTGTGCATTCAGTGCATTTCAAGGTCACAGAAACTAACAAAAAAACCTAGGCCTTAGGCCCTAAAGGTCCTGAAGGCCCTGAAGGCCCTGCGACGTCCTGGCACATGTGAGATTCCAACCAGTGACCTCACCCCCACCCCATCCGACATATTAAGCGTGGGACATCGACTCGAGCTGTCTCTTGTAGACCTCGACGTCCAGCCTAGGTGAGCAAAATAACAATGGCATATGGATGTGGGTCATGGGATACTGTAACGATAATTACTGACCGGTTGACCTACCTGGAAGGTCATGCTATATACATGGTGCTGGGATGTGTTGGGGCTCCAGGTTTTGACCCATCATCAAATAGGTCAGGGTCGTCCCAATCATCCTGCAAGTCGAATTGCTCTGCGAGGATTCATCAACTTATCGATTCGGCGGCTTGAAGAAAGGATTGGTGGAGTGTGCCTGGTGCCTTTGTTTGCATCCAAACATAAATATGTGTATGTTAATAAAACGTCCACCAAATCAGAATGTATGATATATTCCAAATCTCGCTGGAGACGCAGTCTCCTCATGTATTATTGAGTAGAAAGGAGTAGGCAGGGCCAGACAGTGACGCTACATCTAAAAGAACTACTTACACAACCATCACCACGACGTCTACAGCAACAAGTAACATAATTAATTCCATTGAGAGGTTTTGTTTCCTTTCACATTCATCACCCCACTCTGAGCACAGAACAAGGCTTCCTCAATGCCATTACAAAGTTCGGACACCACATCTTCTCCTGGCCCAGCAGGACTGATCAATATCAGAAAGAAATTGAGCAATATGTGAACTTCTCCGCTGTAACTTCTTAAGAAGACTGCTGAGGGGGTCTTACACTACTGTGACGTCTGTCCACACTTGGGATAGTCAACAAAGAGCAACATGATGGGTAAAGCACCAGCTCTGGTGGCACATCAAACAGTCCACGAAATAGAACAGCTATTAAAACAAACCTCCGGCCCAAGGGGGGCAAGGAGAATAGCAGTGCGTGGTTTTTGTTCCCTCAAAGAGTTGACCAGAATCGAACGCTGCTTTGAGCGTTTTTCGAAACCGGGCAGGTCTGCCAGGTGTTCAGCGACCTCTTTAGGTGGTTCCACCAAGACTGGGCAAACACCAGGCGCTAGTGCTCATTGTTTGGGATGCACCCGAGGGGTTGATGGCCACCGAAACGAGGTGGCCATCCACTGGAACCATTTGGCGAACGAACGATCAGCGTTTTCATCAATAAGATCTTAGCAAACCTGCAACTGCATAGAAATACTGTTCACAAAGTGGATGCGTTGTTTGTTTTGTCTTTTTTTTTGGTTTTTCGTTCTTGCGAACTGTGCATGGTGTGATCGAACTAGACGTGCTGATCATCCTTGATAGACACTTGACATACTGACCGAACCTCAACTTTTGTTCCACACACACACACACTCTTACCTGGAGAAACAAATGGTTCCGATTGCAGCTGCTCTACTGCCAAAACACCTGCTCTCTAGTTGCCAGGAACTGGGATGGTCCTGTAGCTATGGGACAAAGTTTCGGATCCCAATCCTTGGGAGGTGCGAAAGACGTGGCCCGCCAAGTCGTCATCACCTCGGGCAAAATGGTTTGTTTGGAATGGTTTGGTGGGGAGGGGAGAACAGAAATTCTGTCATCACTTACGCAAATATAAGATACGATAAGTATGTTCTCAAAGAAACGACGCATGTCTACCCACTTTGGACATGTGAACTGTTCTCGTTTTTGGGCCAAAAGTTTTTGGGGCAGTTATTTTTTGAATTCATGCTCACCGATGCTCACCCGATCTTACATCACCAAACCCCCGGAAAGCATCACCTAAAACCCAACCTGGGTTTTGCCCACGGATCCCCTCAACTGATGATCTGCACCCTATAGCATCCAGTTTTGCTTGACGTTCCTTCTACAGCCCATCACAGGTGTCCTACACATGTGTTTCGGACAGGTCCTACTATAAGTCGTAAGGGCAAACAACCCGAACCAACCTTGCCGCAGGAGCTTCTATGCTGGAGCAAAGCGCCACTTCTATCGAGACTGTGATATTACCGTAATGATATTATTTGTTTCAGTTTCTCTTCAGCGCCTATTGTTGACTGCCCCGTTGGCCTGAACAGGAAAAACACTCTTTCGTTCTGCTGCTGCCACAATCTCCCCCTCCATTACCCATTACAGTAGAGTTCACTGTGGATGCAAGTGTGCATGCTCCTCTCCTTTTGCAGCGTCTTATGCTGCATTAGTATTTATCACTGTCAAGCACGAAAGAAGTAACCCCTTTCTCAGCGCGTGTGAACGCGACGAACGCCCGCCTGTCAGAAGGACCAGGCGATTGCAGTGAAAGTTCAGTGCCTTCTGCGAGTGCCTCAACACCGGTCTGTCGCATCTGTCGAACAAACGGCTCGGTGACCAAGCGGCGACCACTTCCAGCGACCGTCCACGGGCCACGGAGTCTTCGCAAACAACATAAGAACCATCCTGTTAATTGAAGAAAATAATAGAAACATGATGGTGGATAAGGCCAAACATATCTGTATTTTTCGTCTTGATGTCCTTCCTGTTCACTTAATGAAATTCCAACCATAAATAATTAATGGAATTTCATTGTCGTTCACTTTCTGGCGTACCAACCTCTGTTTTTTTTTAGGGCACATATATGTTTAATTCTTGATGTTCATGTGTGCCTAAGGAAACAGAGGTTGGGCCCTACACGGCTATTAATTTTGGATAAGAAAAATGACTGCCAAAATTAATAGCTCCTACATCCTACATCATTTTAATATTAATAGCTTTTTAAATCATGAAGAACAACAACATATTACAATATTAAAATTAAGGATTTCCTGACCCACCACAGCTTATGAATTTTAATGATAGGATTTGTCCTTTTCATTAAGAGATTTCTACCGGACAAATCCTCAATCATAAGCTATGTCTAAGGTGGGTCAACCGTGGATGCGAAGACCATGTCACCAGGTAGTCCGGACACGGTCCATTCAGATGCGTAGCACGGTAGTGCCGTAGTACGGTTGGCTAGTGCTGAATTTCTCCGTTTTTTGTGGGGGGAACAGGGTGACCTGGGCGTTCTGCGCGAATTCCTATATGGATGCGCCGGTGAAACCGGCGAGCAGTCGGAGAGCACTCTCGGTCTCGAGTCTGGATGCTCTTGTTCATGGAGATCCCTGAAATGTCTAAAGGAAAGGTTACCCAGAAAAAAAGAAAAAACAGCACTTGGGCCAAAACCTCCAAATGCGTATGAACCCCAACAGGTTGACAAACTCTTCCCGTCTACAGATGTACAGTAGGATCTGTAGGAACCTGCGTGAATCCTCATCCTCTTCCCTACCAAAAATGACCGCCAAATCCCAGCTCTGCCCCCTTCTGCGCCTCACAGTCTCCGTCAGGGCGGTGAGCACATGATAGGATTCTCGGCCCTCAAGGGTCTGCTCCTGCATGGCGGCACGGCCGGTGCTCTGCATCGGACGGACGGCCGGTCGGTGGCGGATGCGGATCCACGGAGCGTAGAAAAACAACGCACCCGGTGGCGACGAACGGTGGCGGGTTGCGTCGTTCGGGTTGAAGAAGAAGCGAATTCATCTGAGTAATGACTTGGTCTAAACGTGAGCAAACATGAATATGACACATCGAAAAGACCAAAACCGACGAAGTTTCGGTTCCGAAACGCAAAGAAGAAGTTGCGGACGGTGACATGGAGAAGTGGGGGAACCTGTTTGGTTCGTCTTCCGTGATGGCCGATGTCCGGGTTCGTTGAATCGTTTAACCCATCGGTTGATCGCCTGTGGCTTCAGGATGCTGGGCTCCATTGGCATCAGTCCAGACTGGCAGAAAGGCCGACAGAAGCCAGTCAGGGTGATACCCTCCCTGAAACGATCATGGTTACGTGGATGGCACACCCTGCTAGTAGAGGAACATGATGATCCTATATAGCCATGACATCCACGTAACCATGATTCTTGCAGGGTGTGCCATCATCCCACAAACACCCGTCCCGGCCCGTTGACCCCCCACCGATGCGTCGATCATTGGATCAACCAAATTAGATGACCAACCGCCACTGAACAATGCCAAAGCGGGGTTGAACAAATATAAATATGTGACTGTCAGTGGGTTGGTTGCTACAGCCGTTGAATATCGGCGGTTCAATCTGTACATGGAAAACAACATGGACCGTGGAAAGCATGCTCTTTACTGTAGAGGGAAATGGTCTTCCGGCATTCTGTATGCAGGTTGTATGCATCATTCATGGACAAAAGCACATTAACACTGACGACGACCACAACAACAACGACAACATCGGCATGTTGTTTTGGCTTGGGCTCTAATTTGGCTGTTTTGACAGGGAATTTGCTCATTAGTCCTTGCAGGTCTAGCATGCTTCATCGCTGCGGTTCTGAGGAGTTGACTGTGCAGTACGGTCAAACTGTTTTTTAACAATCAAGATCACTCCAAGGAAGGCAATGACTCCCTTGCAGGAGGCATTGGCCGAATCCAAAGACAGCCTTGGGGCACCAGGAGATCATTTGGGAGGCTGACACGCATAGCAACATGCGATCCCCCCTGGTACTCGCTGACTCGCTGCCTGCATCAACCAATGATCATTATATAATGCATGTATATATGCCATTGACCAATGAAGTAGTCCACAGGTTCAATTTTCATCCAAACGTGCTCACCTAGTCACCTCACAGGATCCAGATCCTCAAGTACCCTGAACCGCATACGGTACAAGTCTAACAAACCAGCTGAACATCGGCGATTGACTTCAGATTCACTTGGGCATTCTGTTCATTGAACCTCCAATTCTCTGAATGAACTGTTTCAAAGACAGGTCTGCTGCTTCGGTGCTCCGGGAAAACACGGATGCCTCGGTCCCACAGTAGCTACACGAGAAGCTGGGCGCGGTGTCCCTGAAGCTAAGCCTGGGCGACATCGAAGGACGTCTTGATGAATTACAGTCCCCCCCCAAACATGAACTGTAAAGCCTCAAAACTTTTAGAGGGGTTGGGGGTTTGCAAGATGATCAATCAAGGGTCTACATTAGGAGCATCGTAAAGGCAACACAAAGGAACGAAGATTAAGTGACTTACATTGGAGATCATTGGAGGGGTCATTTTCATAGGGGTCAATGTAGGTACTTCTTCCACTCCCATGGATGGCCTCGAAATGGTGTTGGAGTAGTTTCTCACAACAAAAGGACGAGAAAAAACACCGAAGAACCTCGGGCCGCACCGAATGCGGGTCCGCAGCACGCGGTCCGGTACCCGAGCGGAGCACGTCGGACTCTGAAGCACTCTGAAGCATCTGGGGACATCCATGGTGACGACCGTAGCGTCCGACCGCTCCATTCGTGGTGCTTCTACGTTCATAGCATCCTCTTGTTCCTAGTAGTCGTGGCCAGGAGTGCCCCGTTCGTAGCGTCCGATCGCTCCTAATGGTCAAAAAGGATGGGATATCACCACCCGTCGTCTTTTGCATGTTCTTGGAGCGCAAAAAATAGAAAACTGCCCACACATGGGTGTTCAGTGTCTCAAGTTTTGCACCACTACGAATTTTGAATGCAGAAACATGTATGGAAGAATGTCGTGCAAATCGTCAAACATGCGAACGTGCAGCACAAATTCTTTACACATGTGTGGAGTTGATCACAGCTTTTTTACCAGAGACTAGATCTAGAACACCAAATTGGAGCTTAGGACTTAATTTGTTGTTTTACTGTTGATATGATCTAGAAACATCTAGAAACTGCAAAGGAAACACTACAAGAAACGATGAGATCGAACATGTTTCCACTTTGCTCCCCACTTGGTACAAGTCACTTGCTCCGGACAGACACGGGCAAGGGCAGGGGGGATCCTTCAGCACCTCAGCCGGCTGGAACTGTGACGTGAAGCGTTTCGCCGGTGCCGGAGATGATACACCTTTCCTGAGTCCTTGCCAAAGATCCTTCAGCAGCTTAAACGTGAACAATATGTGGGAAGCACATTTCATAAAATGTCCATAGATTTCCATCCACAAGTCCATCATTGCAAAACAAACACTATAGTCCTGTCAGTTAAACCGCTCATCCTTTCCAAGATTCGCCACAGGGGTAAGGGCATACACCATCGCTCGGAGGCCAAAGATTGGACACATGGGCCAAGCCAATGACAACTTTCGGTGACTCATGCAGCCCGATTTGCAGATCATACTTGCAAAGCTCAAACACTGAGCCTACTCGGTCACCTGAAAAATTCCCAACCGGTGCCGGAGCTACAAGCTACACCACTCTGGCACCACCGACGGCACATCCGCATCATCCCAAATCGGATGCTCGGCCGTCTGTCTCGTCTGGTGAGTCGAGACAGTCTGCTCGTCTCAAGTCTGACCAACGTCTTGGACCTTCTCCCCATGTCGCTCCCCTCTTTTGGGATTCGTTGGAAATATATGGAGTCGGTCACCATACAGAAAACCCACAGAGCTCGCAGAGATACAGAAAACCCACAGCCCACAGACCATCCAAGGCACTGTCATGGCAATCGCTGGCCGTTTCACGTGGTGAAACATCCATCGCGCATCGGTGGAGACGATCGTCTTCGAGCGCTGGCTGGGCGGTTCTTCTGTTCGGCGGTGGCTGCGTTTGGGGTCGGCGCCGCTTACTTCGGGGACCGGAAAGTGATCCAATCGCTGTCGTGCCAGCTAGGACCTTAGCGATGCTGAACAGTTGCCTACATGATATAAGCCTTAATTTGGACGCTCCCCGATGCGTTTAAAATCTGCTCAGAGTGAAGATGCAAAAGCCTTTTGAAGCAACTCTGAAGCAAGGACCAAGCGCACTGAAACACGAAAGCAAGTGGGCTCGATGAACTGTTTCAACCGATGCTGAACCCAATGGCTTTCCAAACTGCTGAAGACACCTTACATTACATGGGATGATGCTGCAAGCGACATTCGTTCCAAGCTTGCGTCCCTCACTCCAAGCGCAAACTCTGAAAGGGTACCTTCTTGTACCTCGTCGGTGAAACCGAAAATGCTTGAGCCCCTGCAGAGTTCGGCGTCTGCAGAGTTCGGTGCTGGGCTGGAGACGTCTCCAGCCGGGGTGGCAGAGCAACGAAACCGGGAACTTCATACGGTTCAGAGCCAGGTTTCGGAATCCAAGTGGAGGCGGGTGATATCGAAACTCATATGGAACAAGCCCTTTGTTTGGTGAAACCATGAAAATTCACGAAATGAACACTTAAATCATCTCAAATCCTGTATGCAAAAGGCTTCAATGGATTTGTAGCAAAGGGATACAAAAGAATGTCTCTCCATTGATACAGTATGAATGCTTGAGGGGGGATTTGGATGTCCAGCCATCAGAAGCCACTGATTTGAAGGTGTGGACACCCATCACCCCTGGGCTGGCGAACTCAGACTGCATGCAAAGAGCTAGAGCAGCTAGAGTGTGTTCTGAAAGAATTGCAAGAACTCAAAAAGCGCCTGAAAGGATGAGAAGAACCCTCTATGACCCTTGCACGCACCGAGGTTTTTGTTAAGGTGCTCTGGCTAGGGCGGACCTGCAAGAGCTAGAGATCCCAATGATATCGGAAGCAACATCTCCGTGATACCCAAACATACGTGAGGCAGCGAAGTATTGCCTTTATCCGAATGATTCTTGATGGTGCAACATTCTGGCCTTTTCAACCATACAACCCACCAAAAGGCAGAGGTCCAGGTATCTCAAAATGATTTAGTACGGTATCTCAAAGGAACTGACACAAGCCAAAATGGTTATATTTTGCATTCAGCTCCCTATCCCACTGAAAACCGCTTTTGAGTTCCAAACAGTCGTTCGGCGGGTGCAAAGCCTCCCAAACAGACAGCCAATTGGGGACCCGGTGGGGCGTGATTCATGATCTATAAACCAAGAAGAAGTTGGTGTATGCTGGACCATGCATAGATCATCCATGTGGTACAAGAAGATGGTTGGTGGTCCTCACGGTAGATCATACAGTGATCACTGCAGTAGACGATCAACGTTTGCTCTCATGACACCCTCCCGGAGGCCAACGGACCGGAAACCCATGATCATCCCACCAACACAGTCACAGTCATAGGTATCTTTGTCTTAAGCAACTGTTGAGTCTTGGGGGAAAGCCTGAACACTTATCTGCCCACTTTCTCTATGCATGGGTCTGGTCTGGACATTTCACCATCTTTCTAGTCAATCTTTCCGTTTGATGGCACAGTCCGAGGTTTCCACAGGAAGAAGAATGCTCAACAAACCACTTGACCAACTTTCGAACATGGGAACATCCCTGAAAACTCCTCTTCTGCTTTGTCAAGAGAACCGCTCCTATCGATCGAATGGTCGTCAGCCTTTTGTTGGATGGCTTTCGTAATGACGATGAATGGCAGCCACGTGCGTTGATAAAACCCCTAAAATGCCAACCACCATTAAGTTAATTTACAATAGTCTTTTACTGAACAAGCACTGTTTTCGCATCGGAAGCTTAGACGACATCAGCTCATCCATGTTTGTCACGGTCGAAGGCAAGGGGAACATAGAGTAAGCCAACGCATCAGTTGACATTAACGTGACATTCAATTGAAATGACTCTTCAATACACAGACGAATCCAGTTTCAGGTTCCAATCCAGAAAGCATGGCTGCCGGCGAGTTCCAAAAAGGAGTGGCAGCGGGTTCGACCTCCCTTCACACCCACCAGTGAACATGGCTTCGACAGAGGAATCTATTCAGAACTGACCTGGTGCCATGGCCCCAAAGTGCCCCGGTGTTCCACCTGTGGCAGCCGGCCGGCTGGAGCTTGAAGTGCCCTGGCCGAGCAGGACGGAGCGTGCGCCATGCGACTGGATGGTTTTCAGGTGGACCAACTCAGCCAATCAATCTAAGCAACAACAGTATAGTGCCATTGGGTAATCACAAGCAATGCCATGCAACAAAGATTCCTCACGCATCTCCATCCAAATCTATTTGAATGTGTTGAAATCACGATCAACAACCTTTCCAAAACCCAAGCAACATCAAAAGCTACAGATCCATGGCCCAGGTCCCTAACTCACTTGCAGTCCAAGCCAGCCTCTTTCGCAGAAGCCAAGCCAGCGAAGCTCTGCGCGAACTTCTCGTCACTGCGGGGCCCGGGCGTTTTTTTAAAGGAAACGTGTGTGCGGAAGAGACCGCAAAACGTGTGTGTCTTCGAACATCACCAGTTATTGTTTTCCCCGTCCTTCCAATCGATGTTCCCGAATGCATGAGAAACAGACCGGGACCGCAGACAGACCGGGACCGCCCGAGCTAGTCCACTTCGGCCAGTCCAGTTCGAACAAGCTCAACTCGGTCAGTCCAATAACACCCTGCAGGAAGATATATGATATATGTCGATCTCTCTTCCCGACTACACAGTGACCTTCAAAGAAATAGAGAAGTGCAGCAATATCAAGACTGTAGTATTGGAAATGACGTCTCTATTGTGTGTCTATTTAACACTTTTATGTTTTTATGTGTCCATCTACTCGGGACAGCAAACATCTTGGTTTGAAGGATGTTTGAGGGATAATTACCCTTTTGCAGGACCCAAATGGGATCAACTTCCACATCGCTCACAGTTGTCAATGGATTTCTTTACATCTTGGCCGTGACAGCTCCTGTCACCCCCTGACATCTTCATATACAGTAGTTGGCGTCTCAAAGCCCCTCGGAAAAATGGAGACAAGTATAGACAAGTACATGTTTTTATATATAGCCATGCCCCATTTTCTAAGGTACTTGAAGTCGGGTCCAGGGAAGCCTTGTCTTGGGAAGTTTGGGAGCAGTAGGACCGACCACGCCGCTTTGGGGCCTAAAGGTGCTTGTAGCCAAGGTGGTCGCAGGCCTCACGGCCGGGCTGATTGAGACCGTGAACGGCCAGTCGGGATTTGGGATGAGTCAAACAAGTTTGGTGAGTGTTTGCCATGTGAGTCTTTTTTTCATTTTGCCCATACTCCAACATGTCCCTTGCGATTCAGTAAGTTTGTATAATCTATACCCACGATCGTTACTGATGACATAGACCCTGAGATCCTGCGTGGAATCCCTGATTCTGTAAACCAGTTTTCTGTGTGGGGGCAAGGCAACAATGTCGAGCACGCTTGCTTCAAGGAATCTTCCGAATTATTATCCTTTGGCAAATAATCTATATTGACTGGCCATCTATATAAACAGTACGCACCACGGAAGCATGGACACCTTGTAGTACAAGTACCTTTGCAAAGTTCTATAGAACCAACTCAGTGTTCCGTTTCGGTTGCTGCACACTTTCCACATTGCAACTAAACAAGACCACTTCCCTCACGGATACTTGGGGATGGGGCGTAGCAATTGTGCCATCCTTGGGAAACAATGTGCCAGCTTCTTTCATCCTGGTGTATCTTAAATTCCATTCAATTCATGTTTTAGTCTATTTTCCTGTTGGAGAATCAGGGTCGCTTTATGCCTTCTTCTACCGATTTGGTTTGGATGCCTAGTCAGCAATCCCTTCTAAACCTCAATGGAATTCAATTCAGACACAGTGTGTTTTCCGAAAATTCCTCCTCAGAACGGGGAATATCGTATCCGACAAGACTTTCGCTCATGTTTGCGAAGATGAACTTCTTCCGAGCTCTTCGCGTGTTTCTCGTCTCGTCAGCAGGTGTTTCTCAGTCTTTGTGACCCACATCTCGAGATCGAGAGTGTGCAAGCTGACGCCATCTGCCTCTTTCCATCCCGGTTTCTGTAGTAAATCCATCGGATTCCACCGCTGGTGCCGCAGCTTTGGAACGCTCCAGAAAACCGGGCTCCCCCGGCGCCGATGGCAAGCCCAGCCTTGGAGCGAAGAACTCGTGGCGAAGAACTCGAGGCTCGGTTTTTGGGACTCGAAAGAAACAGAGTGACTCAATCCATTAAAAACAGGAATCAGGAATCAGTCATGTCTTTCGTTTCTCTCGCGTGAGAAAGAAAGAAACTTCTATAATTACTCATTTCAATGCATGAAGGGATATATGAAGGGTCTCTAGTTCGATTATCGCAAACCATGGCCCGCAGCTACATGAATCCTGGTGTATGAATCCTGCAGGGAAAAAGTACGTCCAAGTCCAAGTGTTCAAGAGTTGAAACCGGTCCAGAATGATTAGAGGAACTGTCCAACGGTGCCCGGAGTTGTGACTTGATCAGTATGAGCAAAAATCCGTCTTCAACCTGTAGCAAAAAAAGGAGAGTTTGCCAGTTTCCCGTCTCCGTCTCACCTCTGTTGCTTTCCAGGTGGGTCGGCTCCGAGGTGTAAAACACCGTGGTGAACGAGGTTCTACTTGGTGTCGTTTTTGGGTTGTTCCAACAGTCCAAAACCGTACACAATGCCTTCAACAACATCTGAAGTGTTGCTTGAAGTGTGTTCTTTGAGCTAGGCGGGGAGATGAACAAACCTTTATGGCCAGCTGTCGGTACAACCGTCCACGACCAGGGCATCCAAGCACCAGGTAGGACCAGCGCTCATAGGCTTCCCACCTAGCTGACTGCTCAAGAAATGCCTACAACGCCACAGCCTTTCAAGGCGAACAAGGCGCGAACAAGGTGATCAGCAAGGCCAGCCAGAACGTAGCTAAGGG